CATTTACATGCACTATGGCTGTCCAAAATTATTTTACTGAGCGTATGGCACCATTTGATGCATCTATGTTTCTGTTGATCAGGTAAACGGAAAGGAAAGAAGAAAAGGGATTCTGTTAAAGATGTGGCACGAGATTACCAGATTCCGCCTTCAGTCTTGTTTCTTCAGTGCCAAATATGCCTTGCTGAAGGGCTTACAATGGTAATTTTGCTTTAGTTTCTGAATTATGAGGTGAAGAATGACCACTTCCATTTGAGATGACTGCAGAGATAGGTCCTTTTGTGCCTCTGCTGGTGCTAAGAAATTTTATGTTTGGACCATATCTGTAGGCATCCAAGTCTTGTTGTTTCAAATCAACCAGACCATTTTTATACTGTGAATGTCAGGACAGATCCTGTCCATTCGTAGCATAAAATTTTGCTTCAACATTCTCACCTCAAATCCGCAGTTAATGAATCCCATCTTTTCAGATGCTCGCTGCTTTGAGGAATGACTGCATGATGGCACAAAATCCAAGCCCTTTTAATACTGAGCATGAGGTATAGCATTATTATTTGTACTATATTTATTTATTTATATATTTTTCTTAACCTTTGAGTTAACTGATGGTAAATTTCAGTTTTATCCTCTCATATAAGCATGACATGCAAAAAGAGGTCTCCTTGTCTTGCCTGAAATGCATTTTGGGAGCTATTTTAGGAGTCACTGTTTCTGCTTTATGAATTCAAGAGTTTACAGAAGTTGTTGACGATTTATGTTTTGGATGACATCTCCCCTTTGCGTTCTCACCATATTTAACTCTTATTCTTTTTCTTTTTTAAATTCCTGCAGAGATTTATTCAGCACTTTGAACTCCTACAAAAAGCTTGCATTCCTGATCATGTCTCATTCCCTCTGTTTATGGAATCGACAACCCATGCTCATTTATCCGTGAGTGAATTTTCTGTTAGCACACACTAGGTGTGATGTTTCCATGATGCTCTGGTAGGCTTATTGTTATCTCTTCCTTTGCACAGAACCTAGTTATGTATGACTACTTCAAGGATGCCCAGAGGATCGCAAAGGAGGTTAAAAGTAGCTTTTCCAATGACCCAGAAAAATTGGCCGAACTAAGAAGGCTAGAGCAAGTAGCCGAGCACAATAGCATTGCCTTAAACGTGATTTCCCGAGCAGGAGCCCTTGACCCGTCACTGAAGGTTTATTTCGAGTTCAACCACCATCCTTGCTTTGCAACGGCTGTTGTTAAGAGATGTTGAAGGTGCTTTTCACTGATCTCTACCAATTTTGAAAGAGTCCCTGAAAAGCAGAATTCAGAGGCATAGTCTTTGTAGCATACATAGCACATGTAACAGCGATTTATAAAGGTTTTTGTCAACTATTCATTTCATTAATTTGTAATTGCAATGAATAAAGAATAAAACCACCCTGTTTATGTGAGATTTGGTTCCTTTGCCCCTTTTCTTTTTCTCATTGCTTTTTGGATAAAGAGAAAAAAGAACGAGACGACAATGCCATGCTTTGACTTTGAATTTGATAGATGAGTGAGTCTGATAGATAAAGTCTTAGTCCATCATAACATATTTAAATTGTGTCCAACAAACACCTTAACAGCTTCTCGCCCATTATGCCAATCTCATTCCACTTTTTTACTTGGACCCGTCTCTTGTGCTCCGCTTGCATTTTTCTTTTGTTTCTTCTTCTATTATACTAGGTTTAGGTTATATTCTTTGGACCGAGTCTTTATTGGCAATCAGCCGTCAAAGACCAAACGACACTACTTTGGAGAAGATGGTACGTACGTGCAATTTAGATAATACAACAAAATCTCCACACACACACACAAAAAAAAAAAAAAAAAAGGAGAGAGAAACCCACCACACCACATCTTCGTTTGGGTTTTCAAATCCCTCCATTTTATGGATTTTCTATGCTTATGGAAAATACAAATTTAAAATGATTTTCTCTTCCCAAAAACATAAGAATCATTCTTAAGGTTCTCTTTTTGATCTTAGTGAATTTGGAATGGGTCTATGTCTATTCATCCCAGGAAACAAAACCTTCCAATTGTCCAGAACGTGTTTTTTATTTTTATTTTTTAACTCTTTGTTGGCATTCAGAACATGGTTTTAAAAACTTCTGATCTGTCACTCTTTTATTTTGTATCCTTAATTTCTTATTGTTAATTCAGAGTTTGGAGGGTGCGATCGTCTTTTTTGTAAGTGGCATTAGGAAATAGGAAGGTCTCATTCATTCATATGGCTGGCTGGCTTGTTCAGGAAATTAGAATCTGTGGCTGGCAAATGGGTTTGCCTTGCTTATTTCTCTGATATATTATTAGTGGCAGAATAGCAGTAGCCCAGAATAAAAATCATAAATACGACATAAATGGTTTACTTAACATAAAACCCCAAACATTTTATGTTAAGTTAAAATGGCATTTACTAACTTCTATGACATTATAGTAGTGTATATATGAGAAACCTCATTCCATGTAGTTCGATTATACTACTAAAAAAAACATAAAACCCCGACATTTTGGAGAACAGAAATGCTTTATTTAGTTGGTTTGGAGATTGAGATGTGAAAATGAATGGAGAATGAATGAAATGAAGGCTTGAGATGTGTCCTTTGTGTGGGCCTGAAATTAACCTCCCTCAACCAAAGAGAAGAGACGAGAGAGAGAGAGAGAGAGAGATTGAGAGCGATGTCTAATGTGGCAAATTGTTGTTTTCATATGGTATGGCACCGCCTCTGCACCAAAACCAACGGCTTCTTAATAAACGTGATGACCTTATGCCATAGTTTTGGTTTCTTTGGGTTCAAAATGGTAAATGTTATTGGTGAGGTAAAGCTAAACAAGCTTGCCTGACCGACCACGATGAGCACCAAATTTGGAATCCTGAGTGTAAGAAAACGGGTTCACTCTCTGCCAACTGACCTAACCAACGTCCGAACGGTCTTAAAGTTCATGATTGAAATAATAAATTATATAACTAGAAGAGCGAGAGAGTTCCAACTATTTGGCAGCCTGTTTTCTACTGTGAAATAAATACATTTGCAGCAGGAGACACACTTGTCCTGCTCTGACATGAAAAATGAAAATAAAGATGATTGAATCGAAAGAAAAAGAAAAGAATCATGGGCAATAATGGCTGGAAATTTAATATTTGCATGTGATCTGGATGAAGAAGATGATTGCTAGCTTTAAAGAATGAGAAGTTGTCGCTAATAATGGAAAAGGCCCACAATTAAATGATAATTGAAAAGCTTGGGTGTCTATTAGTTGGAGAAATTAGCTATAAGCCTATAAGCGAAGCTGGCTGGCTCTAATTTTTTTTTCTTGTTTCTAAGCAACATCCCTTTCTCTTTCTTGGACCAGAATTTCATACCTATTTTCTTTTTAGACCATGACCATGAAATACGAACATGGGATTGGACTGTACAGAATTAGATTAGTCCTAAAGCGACCTACTGCTTCTGGAAAGTAGATCCACTACCGACGCTTCTGTTTTTCTTAACTCACATTTACCTCTTTTTTATATAATATTTTGTATTTTTGTTTTTGGTAGTAGAATTATGATCAAGCGAATTCAATTTTGTTGTAGTTTTGAGTTTCCCTTTCCGTGTATTAGAAATAATTTAAATTATTGTTTATATATAAATTGTAACTTGATATTGATTGATAATGAATAATTTGATGAATTAAGAATTACTTTATGAATTTCCAATTAATTGGATGAATGAATTGAAAATTATATAGAATTCTAAAATAACGTAATTTAAATTTTCATCATTTTAATTTCTGGCAATTGAAAATTTCACTGTTTGGATTTATATATGTCGAATTTTGTAAATGGCATTATGAAAATTGTGAAATGACGCGCTTAAGTTGCCAAACAAGGGAATTGTCAATTTCTCATATTAAATTCTGAATTTTTAGCTAAATTCCGAATTATTTTCCTTCATTCAAACAAAGGGTAAATGTTTTGGTTTGTAAAGTGGTATTCTTTTGTTAAATAATTATCAGTGAAGGAGAGTTTAAAAAAAAACTGTATATGGAGAGTATCGTAGAGAATTATTGCCCTGTCTTACACAGCCGTATTTTCTGTCTTTCTGACAGATGGGAAAATTCAGTTAATGATTTAAATAATAAGAAATTTAAAATTTTAATTTAAAAGTAATGGTCGAAGACGCCGACGGGCCAACCAAACCGAACTCATTCTGGTCGACTTTTCCTCTGGTATCTCTCAGACTCAGACCACTCTCTCTCCCTCTCCCCCCCTCTCTCTCATCAATTGGGTTTCAGGTCAGTCAAGTTCTCCGATCTCTCTCTGCTTCTGTGATTTCTGTGTTCTCTGCCATTTTGATTTTTCATTTTTCGTATATTTTAGAGCTGCAACTACTAAGCGCGCTGTTTCAATTGTATCAGAAGTTATATTTCTTTTGGCCTAGATCTTTACCTCTCTATGTTTCTGTAGCTGTCTTTTGTTGTTGGTTCTTCCAATATATAAATTCAGCTTTTTTTCTCTTACGCAACTATTTGGTGTTATTCCATTTTTGCGATGAAAGCTGATTCCTGCTATTGGTTCATTTGACTTTGAGTTGTAATTTCTGTTTGGTGTTTTAGATTTCGAATCTTAATTATAATTCAGTCGGTTTTTGAGTATTGGATAGGACTTCAAGAATTTTTTTAGTATATCATGTGGTCAGCTATTCCTTTCTTAACTAATTGGATCTGAATTCTGAAGTTGGAACATCGAAGTTTAGGGTTTTTTTTAATAGTTGGTTGGAGTTTTCTATAAGCTTGTATTTGATATCATGAAAAGTTTGATTTTTGAGTGGTGGGTGAGTACTATAGTTTGATTTGGATCATTTCTTATTTTATTTGGCGGTGAACGTTGAACTTTTCTTTTGGTCAACTGGTGGTGAAAGTAGCGGAACCCAGATTGAGTTTGTTAGGTTTTGTTGTAGAATTTTGATATATAGAGGGGAGAGAGAGAATGTCAGGAGGGGGCACACAGAAGAGCTTACGGAAAGCACTTGGAGCCCTCAAGGACACCACCACAGTTTCGTTGGCTAAAGTCAATAGTGATTACAAGGTATTGCGCTTTGTTTGTTTTTGTTTTGGATGGTTCTCACAATTATGATGCATCTGATTTTCATAGTTGGGCATTGAATCTTGCAGGAATTGGACGTTGCTATAGTCAAAGCTACAAATCATGTTGAGCGTCCTGCTAAGGAAAAATATATCAGAGGTAGATTCTCTCTCTCTCTCTCTCTCAATCTGTGTCCAAAGATGGGTTGCATGTTGTACTTTTCATGATCTGCATCCAGAAGAAAGATCGGCTTATCTTTGTTTTTCTTTTGAAGCCATTTTTTCTGCCGTTTCTGCTACAAGACCTCGGGCTGATGTCGCATACTGCATCCATGCTCTTGCAAGAAGGTTATCAAAGACACATAATTGGGCGGTATGGACATTTTCTCATCAGACAAACATACAAGACTTCATACGTAGCCAGGAAGCTTTTTTTGTTTGTTTGTTTTCCTGTATCTATAGTTGGAATAATCTTCATCTTGATTGTCATTCTTGGGGAACCATAGTGAGTGGAAGAAAGTTAAAAAAAGAAAAGAAGAGGAAGATACTCTAGAGACTAGACTTGATGTTCATGGCTTTCTTGTTTGCAAGGGACGAACACATGTGACTTGAAACATAATGACTTGACACGTACCAAATATATGAAATTATAACGAAAATTTAAGGCATAATCTAACTGTGCTTCCTTCTTCATAATCTATACTGTGTCTTGCCTGAAATTTTACTAACTGATTATTGGTTGGTGTTTAGGTTGCATTGAAAACTTTAGTTGTTATTCATCGTGCTTTGAGGGAAGTAGACCCTACTTTTCATGAAGAACTCATGAATTATGGTAGAAGTAGAAGCCATATGCTTAACTTGGCTCATTTCAAAGACGATTCCAGTCCAAATGGTACCTTTCCATTCCGCTGACTGCATCTTTATCATACTCTTCTTCTATTTGAACTGATTTTTTTTTTTTCACTGCCCAGCATGGGATTATTCCAACTGGATTCGTACGTATGCCTTGTTCTTGGAGGAGAGACTGGAATGCTTCCGTGTGTTGAAATATGACGTTGAGATGGATCGCCCAGTAAGAAGTTTATTTTCTCTATATCATCTTTCTTTGAGCTTCTATATCATTCAAATTGACAACTTTTGTTTTAGGGATGTTATGGCAAACACTTTTTATCTCAATGACATTCTGAAATTTCTGAACTGATTGGTTTATCAGAGTAGTTATTAACTATTTTTTTTCTCCCTCTAAGGTTTCTTCTTACTTTTCTATTCTCACATTCAAGTGCTATTTCTAGATTTATCGATTTTATGCACTTATATATGTCTACAAACTTTGGCTAGTCTCATTCTTTTTAAAGTATTGTTTTGCAACTTCATAGCTTGACATTGTGGTGCAGAGGACCAAAGATCTGGATACTGCCGAATTGCTTGAGCATTTGCCTGCTTTGCAACAGCTTCTTTTTCGTGTACTTGGTTGCCAGGCAAGTCTTTTCAACACAACAAAACAAATGGTTTTATGGTTTGCTGATATGTGGTTAAACACGAATATGTGTTCAAGCCCATGTTAATGTACCAGAAGAATGTTACCAATGACGGGTGCCACGATTTGTCAATCAATATAACTGACTTTTTTTTAATATCCTTTAAGTTTCTATTAGTGATATCAATAAATCTTTTTTGCAGCCGCAAGGGGCAGCAGTTCATAATTTTGTGGTTCAATTAGCACTTCAAATGGTAGGTGAAGCTTGCAATATGTCTAGCTGAATGACTAGCCAATATATTTTCTTTTCTTCTGATTTTCTTCTATCATATCGTTAAATTAGGTTGCTTCTGAAAGCATCAAGATTTATCAAGCTATAAGTGATGGAACGGTCAATTTGGTTGACAAGGTAGGATATGAACTTTGCTATTTGGAATAGAACACTAGAAGCTTTCCGTATAAGCTAATCATATATGATAATCATTTCTGTCACAGTTCTTTGAGATGCAACGCCATGATGCTGTGAAAGCCCTGGATATATATCGGAGGGCAGGGCAGCAGGTAATTTTTCTGGGAATTTCTGTTCTAATTAGTGGAGAGTCATATTATGTATCAGCATTTACATTTCATCTGCATGTTTTCAGGCAGAGAGACTTTCAGAGTTTTATGAAGTATGTAAAAGTCTTGATATTGGGCGTGGAGACAAGTTTATCAAGATTGAGCAGGTTGACTATTTTACTGCAGTTCCTTTGACAGCATTGCATTCCTTGGATTATTTGTAACTTTCTCGAACTGATTTAATTTTGGGTTAATAATTCTTTCATAATGTAGCCACCTGCATCATTTTTACAAGCCATGGAAGAATATGTGAGAGAAGCTCCCCGGGTCTCAACAGTTCGCAAGGATCAGGTATGAAAGTGCTCTGAGCTTATCAAATCAACCATTAAAAAGCTGAATCCAAAGTCAGCTTTTTTAAGCAATTGCAGTACTTATAAAGGTTTCACGATGCAATCAGGTCAACAAGCACGTATAGGACATACATAAACCTTAGTCAACTCAGTGTATACAGTTTGCAGCAATTTCCCTCATGTTCAATCTTTAACCTGGCAGGTGGTTGACAATAAAATTAATGCCCCCAAGGAAGTCTTGGCTATAGAGTACAAAACCACCCAAGAGGCGGAGGCACGCCCACCTTCACCTCCTCCACCTGAACCAGTGAAAGTGGAAGCACCCATAGCTGAACCTCCTGACCTGCTGGTAGTTCTCATAATCCTTCTTTTTCTGTTCTCCCTTGAATATTGGCATGCTATAGTTTTGAAATCTTTTGGCTTTCTTTGTCTCTTTGAAGTTTCATTATTCATGCTTTCCTTTGTTGCTAGGGTTTGAATGATCCTGTTCCAGACACCAAAGATTTGGATGAGAAGAATGCTATGGCTTTAGCTATTGTTCCAGTTTGTAAGTTCTCTCTCTCTCTCTCTCTCTCTCTCTCTCTCTCTCTCTCTCTCTCAATGATTTATAGCTCATAAATTTCATCAGAGTGTTGAGGTTTCAATTCACTATGAATTCAGTTTGAACTGGTTTGTTTCCAAGAAACACGCACAAAGCTTCTTTTCTTCTTTTTCTTCTTTATTTTAACATAAAATCTCTAAATAAATTTTTTATATCTGAAAATGCTATTATGGTTCTTGCAGCGGATCAACCACCTTCTACAGCTCCAATTCACGCAAATGGAACTACAGGTTGGGAATTGGCACTTGTTACAGCACCAAGCTCAAATGAGAGTGCCACGGCTGCTAGTAAACTGGTATTCTTCTCTTTACCAATTTCCCATAAAATATCCTAATGTTTAACAATTAATTAGTCAGTATTAGTGTATGGGCAAAAATATTGAAAAAGGTTCATTTACTCTCCTCTCTATGTGGCATACTTGATATGAATATGCAAGCACCAACTTTTGCTGTTTCACCAAAAGCAAAGTGATGCTACTTTTTCGACTTGACACATTTTTGTTGTTAAATTTTCAAGCAACACACTTCCTTTTTCTTTTTCTTATTTGGCCTAATGAATGAACACTGTTGACGCCTTTCAACTGTTGAGTGAAGGCGGGCGGGTTGGACTTGCTTACACTAGATAGCCTATACGATGATGCAATCAGAAGAAACCATCAGAATGTGAGCTACAACCCATGGGAGCCTGTTCCAGTGGCTGGTGCCATGATGCAACAACCAGTTCATGATCCCTTTTATGCATCCAACACAATGGCTGCACCGCCTTCTGTGCAGATGGCAGCAATGGCCAACCAGCAGCAGGCCTTCATGTTTCAGCAACAGCAGCAGATGATGATGATGGGTCCACAACAGCAGCAGTCTTTGAACCCTTTTGGAAATCCTCATGCAGCCACTACCCACCCCTATGGCCCAGGTGTGCCTGTCCAAGCATACAATCCATATACCGGCCTTTTATAGCTGGTTTGTCGAGCCATACATCTATATCGAGAAATACGGGGAAGAAAGGGACATGAAAGCATAGTCAGTTTTAGATATCGAGCATCGGAATCGGAAATTTGGAGAGACAGACGTGTACCATATGTTTTGTTATGTGCAGTAGTTAGCTAGGATTAAGATTCTTTGTTAAATAAATAGTCAGAGGGGAGGACTTTGAGCTATTTGGTGATTTGCATTCATGTTGTGGGGAGACTACACACTAAAATTCTTTTGACCTGCTTTGTTGCTGTTGAGTCGAGCAGGAAATCTTATTTCAACTCTTTTTCAGTTTCTTTCTGTTTTCCTCTCCCTCTCCTTCGGTCCTTAAGGATCTCTATAAAATTATAGAAATTATTTGTAATTTGTGATTGTTGATAACAGACAGTTATGTAACGAGGAGACATTAAATTTGATTTATGGTTCTTGGCTATTATTCTTTTTTATTTTCTTCGTTACCTTTACTTTCTCTTCGTTTATTCTTTAATTCAGACTTATAAAATACAAGCACTACATGCATCATTGGGACATAACAAACAGCACAGATAATTCAATGAAAGAAAGAAAAAAACAACACACAGAAATTTTGAAACGGCGCCGGTTTGGATCGCTTTTTGTTTTTGTTTATGGGCCACATCGCATGGGCGGTGGATATAAATAAGAAAAAAGAACCTTTGGACAAATTTGATTTGATTTTTGGCGGTTCGGTTCGATTCACGGACTGATAATCTGGGCGGCTAAAAACTATTCTATTAAGCCATGCGGCTATACTGTTATACTATTCTATTTCAAGTGTATAGCCGTGCACCTATACTGTCAAATTTTCTATTTATAGAGTATAACCGGCGGCTGTACTTTAAAATTATTCTATTTAAATAGTCGGGCGAGCGGCTATACTTTTTAAAGTAATCCATTTAAAGGGTACAGCCGCCCGGCTGTACGGTTAGAATATTCTATTTAACTGTATAGCCGGGCGGCTATACTATTATAATTTCTATGGCTGTGCGCTTAAAATTTCTATTTATATAGTATAGCCGCGCGGCTAGACCTTTAAAATTTCTATTTATAGAATATGGCAAAGAAATTAATTATATATTTTTAAAATATAAATATAAAATAAATAAAGGCAAGAAAACCATGCGGCTATACTCTTAAAAATATTCTATTACGCCATGCGGCTATACTGTTACACTATTCTATTTAAAGCGTATAGCCGTGCGGCTATAATGTCAAATTTTCTATTTATAGAGTATAGCCGGCGTCTGTACTTTAAAATTATTCTATTTAAATAGTAGGGCCAACCGGCTGTACTCTTTAAAGTAATCTATTTAAAGGGTACAGCCGCCCCGCTGTACAGTTAGAATATTCTATTTAAAATGTATAGCCGCGCGGCTATAAGATTATAATTTCTATTTATAGTGTATATCGCTATGCGATTAAAATTTCTATTTATAGTGTATAGCCGCGCGGCTAGACGTTTAAAATTTCTATTTATAGAATATGGCAAAGAAATTAATTATATATTTTTAAAATATAAATATAAAATAAATAAAAGGCAAGAAAACCTGTCCGGACGAAATTTCGATTCGAGTCGGTTGCGACGGTGGTTTAGGATTTCAATTGCGAGAGGATGACGAACCTGCACTTTTGTGCAATTCAGTCCGATTGGATCTCCTCGATCGTCGTCGGTGGTTCACTTCTTCTCGAAGAAGTGGAACGCGTTGATGGCGACATCGCGGCGTTGTCGGATGAAGTCTAAGGCATAGGTCAGCCTCGTCCTTGGATCCGGATTTTCCTTTCGAGGTTTAGGGTTCGATCGCATGCAGGTATACTTCCTTCTCTTTCTTCATGAACCTCTTGATTTACAAATCAGTTTTCATTTTTGTCCCAAGCATGATATAAGATTGACGCCTGCTAATTAGTTTTTGTTCATTGGTTTTGTGGAGATGATTTGGGTATTCTTAGGAAATAACCATGGTTATGTTATGTTGAATTTATGTGTCCATCACATAAACTTTTGAACATTATTCAAGAAAAGTGTGTTTGTACCTCACGTAGATCAGTCACAAGTGTACATCGCAATTTTTGAACAATGTCATAATGTTCATTATGTAGGAAATGCGTTTATTTGGCCTTCAGATATTTGAAGTATGAAAATAGTGATTTTCAAGAATACTTGTGCAGTGGTTAAGTGCAAAGCATTCTAATATAATTTTGTAAACAAATAAATCCTGTTTTTATGTTAAGTTAAGAGTTAGAAATGAATCATGCCGTCACTTGTGTGGCTGATAGGGCAAGTATGCCGCCCTACGAAGCACAATGTTTAGGTTATACTTTTCTGTTTTATGCTTTGGTTCTGATCATACTCATTTAAACAAGAGAGGCTCTCCGTTTTTGAGTTCTCCAGCAATGGTTAAATATTTTATGCTCTGTTCTTGTTGGCAGATTGAAGATGAACGAATGACAGAACTAGGAAAACTTGCAAGGTGAAATCATGAAAGATTTGTGCGAGGTACATGAACTCTTGTTTGAATTAATATGATCTAGCATGCTGGCTGTGCATCTGTAGGCTAGGACACACACTGAAGCATGTTATATATTATGCGTTTATGGCGAAGAATTACATTTTCTGGACGTGGTGATTGTTAAAAATACATCTTTGTGGTTGATTGCAAATGAATCATGTATTGCAGCCACCGGTGTGGCGGATGGGGCAAGTTATACTTTTCTGTTTTATGCATGTTCATCAAGTAGTTGGATGCTTGATGTTCATCAAGAAGTTGGATGCTTGATGTCCATCAAGAAGTTGGATGCTTGATGTTCATCAAGTAGTTGGATGCTTGATGTTCATCAAGTAGTTGGATGCTTGATGTTCATCAGTGGTGCCACAGGCCACTGACAAACTAATATCTAATGGTTGCGAGCAGCATACGCATATGGTCAAATATTGGCAATGTCTAGGCAAGTCCTCAATATTAGTAACGTGAGAACTAAATTGAGTTGTCCTCCATATTTTGTCAAGGTAGGTGTTGTTGGTGAAGCCGGAGATGATTACGCAATCTAATTGTCCAGTTCACGAAGTAGCTGCTGCTGCTGCTGCTGCTGCTGAGAATACGTCATTCTAGAGTGAGTCGGTGTTACGATGCTTTGCTAGGTTTTATTTGGTTTTTGGATCACTACGACTAAGACATTACCTATTTGACCGTATTCACGAATTGACCCCAAGGTCTTTTGTCTTATGCGAAAATATTGTCAATTTTGCCATTGAGGACAAGTTTGGGCTACCGTTGTATGGTTCATGAAGTTATTTTCAGCCCGAAATAGAGGAAAGCTGAAGTAGCTTCTTCGTAACATGAAGTTCGGATTTGTTGTATGGCGAAAATGAAGTCGTTTTGTTGCCCTTATGGACTTGAAAGGGGCGGATACATTATCCTAACCCACAATTATAATTAATATTAGTTGGTGTTGCTTATGAAAAGAACAAAAATACAAAATAATATCAACGCATTAAAAGTGTTTATGTCCCCAAAACAAAACAAAACAAAATAAACCCACAAAAAGTAAAATTCCTAAAAAAACCACTCAACCAGTAGCATCTCGGGCTATAAAACAAAATACTATTCACAGTGTTAGAGTAAGAAGCAAAGAGAGAATAATTACAAAATAAAAAAAAGAGGGAGCTTCTTCTTCACCCATCAGTTCAGCCATCATCATGTTGTTGTTGTTGTTGTTGTTGTTGTTGATGTTATTACAATAACAGCAAGGGGATACTAACAGTATTCACCAAACAATGTCTTGGCTCTTCGGCTCTCTCCAACCAGACGATCCACATGATGAAGCCAAGCAACCACAGAGTCCTTCCAGTTCCCGCGTACCAAACGACTTGTCGTTTCTCGGCCAAACCCTCGGTCGCCAACTCCGCGGCGTCGCCAGCTTCCTCGTTCCACCACCACCATCATCATCACCGTCCCACGACGCCGTTCCCTCCTCCAATTCTCAACCGCAGCCGCCGTCACAATCGCAATCGCAATCGCAACCGCTTTTAGGAATCCGAAACGATCTGGTGGAGATCGGCGGCAGCTTCAAGAGCGGTCTCTCGCTTCTCTCTACAAATAGTAACAAAGCCGTCACTGAGATCTCCAAGTTCGCTTCGAACTTGTTGCAGCTTCAGAACAAAGCTCTGGAAGACGATGCTGATGATGATGATGACGGTTCCGTGCCGGGGATTACCGACGACGTTATCGGTTTCGTCACCGAAATTTCGGTGCTGCCAAACTATTGGACCGACTTTCCTATACCAGTCGATCATGGTCAAGTTCCTAATTTTCACTTCTAATTTAAGCGTGTGCGTGTGACGATTGCATAATTTTTGCCTGCTTTCTTTGTTTGTGTTGCTTGGCTTTGCTTGCGAAGTTGTGGATTCTAAATTGAAAATCCGCTGGTCAACTTACATTGACTAAAGCTCTGTTTTTTTTTTTTTTTTTTTTTTTTTTTTTTTTTTTTTTTTTTTTGGTTTGGGGGGTAAAGTTTATTACACATGAATCCAAAGTGTCTTGAAACCTGTTATGCGTTCTCTGTGATGGCTTCTGTTTACAATTAGCTGTTAATCTTGTTTGAACTTTGGAGTGGTCGATATGGGAACTGATTTGGGAGACCTATGATTCTATTGTGCTTAAGATACAAAGATTAAAAAGATAATTGAAACAAATTGACATGGCATTTAATCTATTGATGTTGAACTTGTTTTATTGCAGATTTCAGCATGTCTGATGCTCAGAGAGAACATGCCTCCACTGTTGAACGATTGGTTCCAGGCTTTGCAGACCTAAGAAACAGACTTGGCAGTTCCATGAGCGAGAAACGATTTTGGATGATCTATTTCTTGCTGTTGCTTCCGAGACTAAATGAACACGATTTTGAGCTTCTATCAACCCCCAAGGCAAGAACTTTGTCTTTCCACCTTGTCTCATTCTTCTTATCTATATTTGCATGCACACTAAGAGAGCCTAGTTGCAATTTCCTTTGTGGATGCTTCTTTACCATATTTATGATACTTCATTTAAGGTTCTATGGTAGCTATTCTTACTGCAGTTTGCAGTCTTTGTACGTGAGAATTCAATCTGCTTTACCTGTCACCAGCTGCACTTTTGAGCAGTTTTGTTCATTGCATTTATTGTAGCTTCATAGCAAATGTTATAGCATCTTTCTAGCTAAGGACACAGGAGAGAGGGAAAAGATCTACCATGTCCTATCTTGTCATGTGAATCAGGGCTGTATTGATTTCTGTTAGATGGGTTTAGTGAAGGGATTACAAAGGAAGAGAAGGAGAAGGAATTGGGGAAGTGGATTGTCTGATTCTCTGAGAAAGGGGATCGAGTTCTTATTCACTGTGTGTCTAAACTGAGTTTTCAATCTCAAATTGTTCAAATGTCGTGTGTTTCTTTCTAGGGAATACATGTGAGTGTTGATTCTGTGGCACTTTAGATTGTCCAAGAAGTTTGGATTGTTTTTCAATTCCACGTTTCAGCTTCCAACAATACTTGTAAGTTGTAACAAATGCATTATTTTGAAAATAGAACTTCCTTCTTTACAGATTGTTGAAGCAAGAGACGTGCTTCTGCACAAGCTTCAAAACAAGAGGAACACACAGGTGGATAGCTGTGAGAAGTCAATTCTTGATTCACCTAAAAAGGACATCCAGGTTGGAAAGGCACAAGGGGTGGAAATCTCATCTCAAGAAAATGAAGCTTTGACTGAGATAGTTAATACAGCAGGAAGGTTAAAGATCGATGACGAAGAGAGCACTGAGCAGTGGTCTGAAGAGGCAAGTATTAGTTCTGGCACTTTCGTGGATGGCCAAAGGAAACATGAAACTGAAGAGGATATCTCATTCAGCGATTTAGAGGACGATGAAAATGACCTTTCTAGTTCTACTAGACTATCAGGCCTAAGGCGAGGACGAGACGTCAGGGCATGTTCACCCTATGGATCAAATGACTGGGTTCAGCTGAATAGAAGTTCTGAGATTGAGGGTGGCCAGCGAAAGGCTGGTCAGTCAAAAGAGAGAGATTCAGAAGGTGAGGATTCAAATGACTGGCTTACTGTAGATGGGTTTGATTAGGCAATACTAGCAGCAGCTTGTTTGCCAACTTATTGTAAAGTTTCTGTTTCTTATTTTTTTTCCGTTTTTTGGGTTTGGTGGGCTGGATTCTGTACTTATGGGTATCAACATCATATACAAGCTGTTTAAATTAATAATACAATGGAGTTCATTTCAAATGGCTACATTTACTGCTTATTAACACAAGCGTATTGTGGTTATAACAATAACTTCTCGTTTTCAACAATTTGTTACAAGTTGTGTTTTACTCAGTACATGTACGAGCAATCCACTTCTTCTTTTCTTCCCCAGATGAGTAACACAAATTTCTTAGGGAAAGAAAATGAAGCAAAATTGTACAAACAGTCAACCAGAAATCCATCATTACATAACAGCTAAGAACTACAGTTCGCGTACACCCCAGCTAAGAGTTAACATACAGCTGCCCTGACCTAGATAAATTGCAGAAAAAGAACGATCTCTAATTCTGTGGACAAGTGAAACTGCACTTCTGGATTCTGGACAAGTAATTTAGACAGCAACTATAAATGACAATGCCGTACGATCTGAAGCATCAAAAGTTTATATTAGACATCTACAACCACAATTGATGTGGTGAAGATTCGAGGTCAAATGGAATTTCTGAAGCAGGAGAAAAGCTCCTAGGACAGAGCTGATCCTTTGGACATCACGTGAAACACCGGCAAATGCTGGCCCTTCTTGAATTGTCAGCGATTCAAACCTACAATGAAAGACAAGGGGAAAAAAAATAAGAAAAGTGAGCATGACATGGCTCGTTTTAATGAACCAAGTAACCACACAAATTTTTCCAACTTTTTCTTACACGCACGACTTTTGGCAACTGTCATACTCTTGACATGAGGAAGTTCTTTCTCAAGCCGAGCAAAAGTAGAAACCACATCAGTGTCCTTCATCATAACATATAGTTCCCCCAGATTGGGAACCCTTTCAAAAGAGAGTTTTATATCATCACCCTTATAATGGAAACTGGTAAGATTGGTGGCACTGAGTTCAATCCCCTTTAAACCTTCACAGAGGCTCACCACCAGCACCTTCAAACGATGAAGAGAATCACCAATGCACAATCTTTCTAATCCAAAACACCATTGCAATGTTAAACACTCAAGGTTTGAACAAGAAGAAAACATATGCGGCTCAACATGTCCAGCGAGATTTACATCACACAACACAAGAGTTGATAAGGTGCTAAATCGATCAAAAAAATCTGACTGAAGTGTGCATGAGCGCAAGGAAAGATGCCTTAATTTGGATTCTTCACCATGCAAAAGGAGCTGAGTAGGAAAATGATAATAGTCAATGATTCTCCAATCGCTGCGCTCAGCAGGTTTGTCACAAGTAAAGGCAAGATCAAGATTTTCAACGCCCTTTCTAATGGCAAAACTAATCCAGTCATTGATACGACGAGCGTACATATTTCCAAAGCAACATGAAACCTTGAAGGAGACAACCTTCGTGCCCAAATGACATGCTAAGAATCTTTCTAGTCTTGCTAGAAAACAGAACACTTCGCTGTTGCAAACCGTTCCAGGAGTTGAATCAGCTGGTGTGGAGATTATGTCATGCCAATCGAACTCGAGATTTGACATGTACGCATACATGTTCTTCCACCTATGTGATAATACGCTCGTGCGTACAGCATCCCTCATACTCAATAATGAGACAATGGTATGAAGAACATCATCTGGCAATTTACTGATGTGATCCTTACACTACATGATTGCAGATCATATACCATTTTAACATAATCAACAAGAACAACTGCGCATTATATTAATCAACAGAAGAAGAGAAAAAAAAACAGAAAGCAGCTGCCAATTTTAACTAGGAAGATAAATTACCCCTAAAATTGCAGATTTTATTTAATTCTCCGTTCTATAATAATTTCATTTTACTAAATCCAAACTTACAATATTGAATGAAAAATGGAACTTTCGTAACATGAATTCCAATTTCCAGGCATCTTAATTTGTTTCAAATGAACTATCTAAATCCAAAGTTAATAAAAAAATTTATGTTCTTCTTGACTTGACCCGAATTTGCTAAAATTCTCGAATGAATCTTTAAAAGTTTACCTCAGAATTCCCTTCCAAATATGCCTGATTCAATTCAATTATAAAGCATATATTTATCAAATTAACAGCTGAAAATAAAGTACCTTTCCCCTCATGATTTGGGGCTTCAAGAGCTTCGATTTTCTTATGGAAGGCCACAGAGTACAGAAGCGCGCAAAGCCCTAGTGCAATTGTGCCAAAGCTTCGGCGCTCGATCACATTGAGTCAACAACAAAAGCCCTAAATATATGTCTGCCCAGAAAAGGAAAAGAAGCAGCAAACAAACAACGCAGGGTGAGTGCACATATGTCAAGTCTTCTTTTTCCATTAGCAAAACACAGTAAAAATGTTCTTTTTTTAACACTTAACTGATGTAGAAACGTACTGTAGCTTTACTGGTCAAGAGCATTTGAATTTTCATTCGTAAACAATGAAGGTTATTACAAAATCATATGTGTATGTTACAATTATATATATATATATATATTTATTCATTAGTAAGTACATGCTTAAAATGAGAGTGGAAAATAGTTGTGTGTGATCGTGAGGGCAAAAATAAATTCAATATGCAGCAACTTAAAATGAGAGACCGTACACAAACACAATGCGGAGCGCAATGCGCATGCTCCGGCACGAACCCAGTTCTGTCTAGGTAGGGTTGTAGCCCGACCCAAATCATATGATGTTTCCTAACACCTATGTAGCCCACCTCTTCTTACCCAAGTAAGCCTTCTTTATGTTTTGTTTTTTTGTTTTTATTTAGCATGTTTATGTTACTGTTGGGCTAAAAATCTCTTAGATGATTGTTTGTTCGAATTCATTCATTCGTTATCCATATACGTTGTCAGAAACATACGCAGTCCTTAACCTCTGCTAAGCCCACACTCACACCCAGAGACAAACCAGCCCGCCACTGTTGACCCGATAAACAAAAGACAAGGACAACAAAAGAACCAGCTTGGCTTCAACTGATCACTGCACCACCACCATCAATCCTGTGGTCATTTATGCATGGTTGGCCAAGCCGATTGTCGCCATTGAACAATGTCAATAAAAGAGTTTGAGACATTTTAATCAATTCACTCAGATTTTTATACGCATGTAAATTGAGTAATTATGCATGTTAATTAAGTAATTATCATTTCATTTGAAAAATACCCTACAAATAAATAAGAACTTCATATTAAGAGGATCTTATATCGAACGATGGAAAGTTCACTTTAGTAGTGTAGTGCTTAAAAAATCTTGGACCTCTCGACCCACTGTAGTGGTAGTACCCATCTCTTTTCCCCACTTGGCCATGTGCCAGTATTAGTAGTATTGTACTATAGTCTATAGAGATTAGATTCTTTTTGTTCCCTTCTCTACACCGATTTATCAAATGAACCCAAACATCCTGTGCCTGTAGTGCTTCATCATCTTACTACGTGACAACAAACCACGACCATTAGATTTAGATCTCTATATACTAGGAGATGTAGAGCTGCATTGCATGTAGATGGAGTGCCCTCAGAGTTTCAGAGCCATCAGTTACCACAAAAGAGGAATTACTGCATGCGTTAGAGACACAACACCCGACAAAATCCAATTAGAGAGCACTAATATGTTACCACATACAGTGGCAGGCATGGCATCTTGTGCAGATGATGATGAATGAATGTTATTTGGCTAATTAATTAATTAAATATCGTATATATTATTTTATATAATTAACGTGTGCGTGGGTTTAAGGGTTGTGGCCAAATCTCTTGTGTGGTGTGGTGATAAAATATATAAACTTCTCTTTTCCCATTTTCCCATGAGAATCAGTGAAGAAGACAACTTAAAACAAAACACACAGCAGGATCTGGCTAGTGTTAGCGCTCTGAATTCAAAAAGAGAACACATGTCTAATAGCTAATCACTTATTTAATTTATAAACCTTAATTTATTAGCGAAGCAAAAAGAATGTGCATTCAAAATATATAGATGGATCCAGCCACAGAAAGCTAACCTAAACCAAGTAGATCTAAGTAGAGGGGATAATATTTTGTATGATGATGAATATATATATATATATATATATTGAGTTGAGTCAGTGCAGAGTGCATATGATTCAGTAGATGAAGTTCAATAATTTGGTTCTGAAGAGAAGAACAATTGGAGAGAGAGAGAGAGAGAGAGAGAGAGAGAGAGACCAATCACATGCAGATGAGGAAAGCAGAATCACGGATCACACAAGCATACAAAAGCATCCAGCTAGCTAGCAAAGCTTCTCAATTCTTGTCCTCCGTTCATTTATTCACCAGTACTGCTTCTCATATCCTCACAGACTCACAGTCACGGACGTACACATACAACACATATATAGATTTATATATATATAGAGAGAGAGAGAGAGAGAGACCAAAATTTCATACCCATATCATGCATATATACAAACATACACACACATATATATTTATTGCCTCTCTTTGATCTTCCCCACCATTCCTCTATTATAATTCTCTCTCCTTTCCTCAACCACCATTATTCCACATGCTTGCCTAGCTGTTCTGTTTTTCCTAACAGCAACCACACACCAGGGAGGTCCTGAGATTTTAAGGGCCTTATGCAAAACTTAAACGAAAGTCCTCAATCTAATATGAAAATATTTATAAAAAAATTTACCATGACTTAACACTATAAAATAATTTTTTTAATAACTAAAATTCATCATCTATTAGCATGCAATAACAATCATAAATAACATTCATAATATTTTTAATGTTTCAATTTGAGAAAATGGAAGAGGAAAAAGACATGAACTTTTTTTGTTTCGTTTTGAGTGGGTGAAAACATACACTCCAAATTTTTTTGTTTGATTGGAGAAAACTTGTATATATTGCTTTCCTCTTCTTTGACATATGGACTTGAATCCAACTTGCCTACTAAAATCAAAGGGATGAATTTCAACTCAACCAAATACACACTTGTGTTATGTTCCTACACGCTCAAGTATATATATAATCAGTGGCGTAGCTAGGAATTCTCTAAGGAGGGTCAACATTATTAGCCTACGAAAATTGTGAATAGTAACATAATATTTTTTTTAATTGTCTCTTTTAATTGTTATCTTCCAAAATCATAACCTGTATCACTTAATAAATTACAAAGAAATAATTTGACATGAATCAAATCATAAAGCATTGCTCAAAAGAGAACTGAATAGCTATTGAGAGATTTACTTGATTGATGGCTGATTCAATAACAAAAACTGTAAGAGAACTTAATAAATGAAAGAATAGAAAGATTGAAGTTAAAAAGGAAAAATGGAGTAAAGATAATTATAGGAAAAACTATAGAAGTAAAGAATAACAATTAACTAGAGTTAGAAAGTTAGAAGGGTCATCTATAAAAGAAACCCAAGAAAATCAAATATAACACATAACAAATGCATTTGTTGCATGAATTGGAGGAGGGTCAGCTGACCCTTGTGGGCCTAAGCTAGCTCCGCCATTGTATATAATACCTATAATATTAATATTAATATACATAATATACGCGTAAAAAATTTTGAGGCCCATAAAAATTAGGGGCCTGTGCGGTGGCACCACTTGACCGCTTTGCCACTCTCTCTCTCTCTCTCTCTCTCTCTCTCTCTCTCTCTCTCTCTCTCTCTCTCTCTCTCTGAGCAGTCTGATCTGGTGATCTGTATATGTAGTACGTGCGTGTCCTTAAGTTTTGAGTGTGACCAATGCAAGAGGCTCACTTTGGACTTAATGGGAGGAAAAGGAACTCCCATCGCCTAGCTAAGCTTAGCTCCCTGTTACCATTTTGGGACGTACCAAAAGCACTTGCCATATTACCCACATATAAACAATTATTTGAATATGCGGTCCAACTTCCAATTTACAGCTTATACAATTCAATATGCAAACTTTTAATTTGACTATAAAAACTTACCCTTTGTAATATCCAAATCCAAATATGAGAAGTGAGATAAACACGTGAAGACAAGAGAGATAAAGATGACCTATTGTTAGTCTCCCTTCAAGTGGGAGCTATACTTAAGCAATAATTAAGCATGTACTCTTCCTTAGATTAGATTAGATCTCCCTTGTTCATGAATCATGATCAATCCCTTTCCTCCATAAACTTAACTTAACTTTTATCCTTCATGTGTAATTGTGTGAAATGCATTATTGATGATGAAATAGTATGTTGAATGTACGTAAAAGGTAAAACAGAACAAACCTATATATCTATCTATCTATAAACCCCAAAGATAGTAACCACAAGCTGCTAGGCTAGCTACCAATGGCCCTAGTCAGTGAGTGGCCATGATTGGCATAAAATAAAACAAAACTATTCCATCGATCCCCCAAGAAGATCACCATCCAAAGCTTAATTGTTAGTTTAATTAGGGGGACTAGCTACTACTCCTTTACTCATGATTATACTAAAAAGTTAAGCATGAAAATCCATGTAAATAAAAGACAAGATTATGAAACAATAATATAAAAAGAAAATAATGGCAATTGGACTCATGCAAATTTAAGGAGTAAGTTATGCCAACTAGCAAAGTTTGGCAGCTGCCTTTTGCTTTGCTAGCCCCATGTTCACGTGATGTGCCTCTTAGGGTTTTTTGTTCTCTTGCCCTCGTCACTATTCCTATTTTTCCACAACAAAAGCTTTACCCCATCTCAGCATCACTCTCATCAGCAGACAGAGAGAGAGACAGAGAGAGAGAGCTAGACTACAACATGGCCGAGTCCAGTAAGCTCCATGCTCTCTTCTTCATTTGCTTGCTCTTCATCTCCTCAGCCACTCCCATTCTTGGCTGCGGTACTTGTGGCAAGCCTCCTCCAAAACACAAACCTAAGCCTAAGACCCCCAAAGGCCCCATCCCTCCCATTCATGTCAATCCCCCAGTTGTTAAAGTCCCTCCGGTCATCCCTCCCATCGTTAAACCACCAGTCACAATCCCACCCATTGTCAAACCACCAGTCACAATCCCACCCATCGTCAAACCACCAGTTACAATCCCTCCCATCGTCAAACCACCAGTTACAATACCTCCCATTATCCCACCCGTTGTTAAGCCACCGGTTACAATCCCACCCATCGTTAAGCCACCAGTTACAATCCCACCCATCGTCAAACCACCAGTTATAATCCCTCCCATTATCCCACCCGTCGTCAAACCACCAGTTACAATCCCTCCCATTATCCCACCCGTCGTCAAACCACCAGTTACAATCCCTCCCATTATCCCACCCATTGTTAAGCCACCGGTTACAATCCCACCCATTGTTAAGCCACCAGTTACAATCCCACCCATTTTGAAACCGCCAGTGACCCTGCCTCCAATAGTGCCACCTGGCATAATCCCTCCAGTCATAGGAGGAGGGCCACCGGGTAAAAAGACTCCGAGTCCCGGCACACCATGCCCTCCTCCTGCCGGGAGTCCGGGGGCCCAGGATACTTGTCCCATCGACACGCTGAAACTGGGTGCTTGTGTGGATCTTCTTGGTGGGTTGGTGCACATTGGGCAAGGTGACCCAGTGGTAAATGAATGCTGTCCAGTGCTGCAAGGGCTTGTTGAGCTTGAGGCTGCCGTGTGTCTCTGCACAACTCTCAAAATCAAGCTTCTTAACCTCAACATCTTTGTCCCGATTGCTCTTCAGCTCCTTGTCACCTGTGGCAAGTCACCTCCTCCTGGTTACACCTGCTCTCTCTAGAAGAAATTAAGTAAGTATTTACACTAATTAATTGGTTATTTAAATTAGTGCTAACTACGTACGTACATTATTCTCTCAACCCTAGCTAGCCCCTCACTTGACAATTATGTAATATATCCAAAAGATTTTGGTATGTGACAAATGGTCAAAAAACCAAGCACAAAAGATATAGCTCTTCCTAGATATATATAGTCTTGGAAAGTTGACAGATGAGTATTTTAGCTTACCTCTTCCCAAGAGCACAAAAGCTTAGGGAACCAAAAATCCAAGCAATTTTGTTATGTCCGAAGCACCAAAACATCCCATATTACTATATCATAGATTCGTAACATATAATTAAATTTGATGTCCGTATGAAGGAGGAATGAATGATGAATTTTTTGTTCTCTCTCTAGATCAATCACTTTCGTACACGAAAACCCGGTTGCATAACTAGTTTCTTGAAAAATTTCTGTGATAAACATTGAATGTGATGATTTGATGGGATTGCAGGTTGCTAGGTTGATGGATATCCAAGGAGAGCTAGGGAGGGAATCGTCATGAGAGGATGTCGAGCTTCCCCTTGTTCCTTGTTAATCTTTTCTTCTTTAATTGGTATTGAGCTGATGCTTTGGCTGTGATCTTATTAATGTACACACCATTTGTTTTAAATTTGTTGCATGTGTGTTTTATCTCAGGAAAGCAATCAAACATGCTTTTGAATTAATTTTAAATTTTATATTCTTTTTCTTATTTTATGTTGGTTCATATTAATGGAATGAAAGCTATAGCTAGCAGATTTGCCCTAGATTAATTCAATGAAAAAGGTTGTTAACAAATGAGTGAGCTCACGTTAACGTACTTAACCATATTTGTATGTCACATTCTCATACCACCTTTTGTGGAAGATGAGGTATACAACCACATCACTTAAAACTAATTTAACATTTTCTTTTCTTTTATGATTTAATAACTGAAAAGTAATAAGTCAATTATAAGTGTATGTGGGTCAACAGAACTTGACTTATTTATTTAAGGATGAAATTGATAAATAAAACACAATAAAGTAAAATTAATTGACAGCCACATATAAAAACCTTGATGTAATGATAATGAAGCAGGTGGTTTTGGATTTCTATGGGCTCAGAGGATGTGAATCAGTGCTGTTACTGTTTTCAACTTTCAACAAAGAGACAACAAAAACAAACAAATAATGAAAGAGGTCTCGAGTCAATTCAACTATATATCAAATTTTTACTGTTACCTTTAATGGATTATCAGCCAAATTGATTGATAAGACTCTATCCAAGGACTAAATTGTAAACAGGCAGGGCCTCCCAAGGAGAATAATATATTTTACTGTAACTTCCGTGAATTAGGTTAAATGTCTCATTCTCGATGAATATTTACATGAATGCAATTCAACGACTAAGATTACGAGTAAGAGAAGGCTACGGAAATGGCGCTAAGAACCTCGTAGCTGGGATTTAAAGCAGACGGGAGGGGACCACACTCTAATCTATTGCACATGGCCACATAACTGTTGGTCTCTTATCTCGAACAAAAATCAAAGAAATATCTAGCGTGTGTGTCGTGTGTCGTGTGTCGTGTGTCGTGCATGTTGATTGGTTCTGATTCTGAATCTGTTGTTGTATTGTATTGTATTGTATCAATAGTTTCACGCCGACATTCTGTGGAACTCCAAAGCAAACTCCGATAAACATAAATTTTACTCATGAGAAATTCATCATAGGCATAGGCAGAGAGAGAGAGGGGCGAAAGATCAATTAATAATCTCTATCCAAGAGTCAAATTATGATTCATATGCTCGCTTAATACATGCTAATGATAAGCTTAAGCTGAAAGAATCCAAGGACAACAAAAGAAAAGTATCCAAGGACATACTTGAACATTCATATCCAAAGAAACAAGACAGGACGGTTAATGGCGAAATACTACATGATTGACATTCAAAGGAAAAATGACTTCAATGGGAATACAGAATGAATAAACATTTTCAGTTCCTTTCTCTAGAATGAAAAGCATATCATCTAACTACGTTGAACCAACTGGATTAGCCACTAAAACACAATCATCTAAATCAGAAACTACATCTCAAATATGAAAGGTGGGCTTCCGCACTAACCAAAACACAGCCACACCCCACCAATTAATAAGCCCTAAGATATGAAATTTGAGAAAGAAATAAAAAAAGAACAGAAAATTTATTTCTGAATTGAACTATATATATGGTACAAATCCTCTTAGAAAGGATTGCTGATCTACCCACTAGAGCTTACCATTGAGAGGTGGGCCGGACGTTATGACAAGCCACCAGTACAATCAACCATCTACGAAGCTTTGTTCAATGTCAATCCACTAGGAAGGAATGTAACTCGACTACACTGTTTTAACTTGGCAAGAGCTTCTTGCGACTTACCGAGCTTGAGATCCACGTAAACTGCAGTCAAAGTTGCTTCTGGACTGTTGGGTACTATGGATAATGCCTGTGCAACAAACTGGCGGGCCTGATCAAGTTCACCTTGCATGGCGTACAAGGCAGCAAAATTTACATACAGGCTTGCCAGTGCCTCTTCTGGCTTGAGGAACACGATACCTAATGTGTCTTCAGGGGAAGAACTTTTGGCACTCATTGATCCTCCATTCAACTCTTCATAATCAACAGTCCTGACTCCTTGCAATTGCTCAGAGTCCTCCTCGCTGAATGGCAAGTCAATGTTGTTACCTCCAGACAAATATGTCATCAAATGATCAGCAGCATCCTTTGCCCTGTTCAGCAAGCAGAGAGCCTCTGCAGCATACACATGACCTAAAAATATGTAAATTCTTGAACATTCTGGAAGTTCCAAGAGAGACCTTGCAATTGACAAGGCCTTCATAGGATTTTCCAATTCCAACTCTACATATGCCAGATTTGCAAGAAGAGCTTGTTTGAGCAACAGATTTTCCTTGTTACGAATATCTGCATAGTACAAAAGGGAGTTCTGCACAAGCTCCTGAGTAGTTCCTGCCTTTTGCTCTTTTGCATCCCCATTTATGCCTGACTGGCCCAAGCCTACAGAGAACGCAGATGCCTCGGAATCGATGCTGTGAAAGTTCTTGTTGTTTGAGTTCTTGGAAGATGCCACTTCACCTAATTCATTATCCTCTAAGAAGAAATTAGAGGGCAAAGAATTCTTACAATAGCTTGACTCAGAACAGTTCAGTAAGTACAGGGCATTAGAGAGACACTGCCGTGCAAGGGACATCGAGAGCTTAGGCTGCTGATCACTGCCCAAAAACAAATCACCTCTTTCAAAAGAACCCGAGTTTCCATTCTTGGAAACCCCGTCTTCCATTACAAGTTGCCTCCACTTCCCATTGCCAATGACATAAACTCTGACTTCTGATGATGCCAGAGTGGTTTCCAATAATCCCTTCTCTAAAGCCATCAGACAGCACTCAGCAAATCGAAGCCACAACAGAGGCCGATTGTAGAAAACTAAACCAGCCTTTTGAAAACAGCGAGCAGCTAGTAGTGGTTTCCCGCAGGCCAAGTACTGCATACCAGAGTTATATATAATTAGGAGGGAATTGTCCTGTGAAAAAGTTAACAGATTTATAGGCCTGTCCTTCCGAAGAGATGAACAATTAAGCAATGCGTTGGAGAAGAATACTGATGCTGTGTGATATTTCCCAAGCTGATAATAAATGCATCCTAGATTATTGTTGATCATGCTTGATATCCTTGCATCTGTTCGATTACTAGATGCCATCAACAACTTGATGGCTTTACGATAATTACCACGAGCATATTCAAGCTGGGACTTCAAGAGGAGAGCCATAGAAGAATCTCTCCCGCGTGCAATATTCATAGCATGCTTCACTTCACGTTTAGCTTGCTTTAAGTTCCTAGTGAGAAGCAGAAACCGAACCTTGTAAAGTTGCATCTTAAGCTTCAGATAAACAGAAGAGACGGATATGTCAACTGGGTTCCTTGAAAGATCATTTGAAGATAAAAGAGCAGTTGGCTGTGCTACATCCATGTCAAAAACAGCACCATCATACTCGCCTGTCTCCTCAGACTCCAAGGCATTTGCATCTGAATCCAAATTGGGACCATCCGCTGCTGATGAATTGGTAGGAAGTGATGGAGACTTAGCAACTGGGTTTGCAGGTTGTTGCAACGCAGTGCTTCCACTGTCTCCTTGATTCATACAGCTAACACCAAAAGCTTTTTCCAGATAAACCAAAACATCCTGAACAATAGGAATTGCAATAAGAACCAGTTGGGAATCAAATCAACATAATACAAACATAGCGTCCTTATATATACAAAAGGCACGCTCACCAAATCAACAAGCTAACCACCACTATAATCACAGCGCACATAATGAAGTTGGATTGAGCACCCTCATACAACTCATACACAAGAAGACAGAATGATAGAATCATTATTGAACAAATCATAATGAACGAAAAGCTTCAACCATGCTTATGGTACAATCTATATTGATGTTGCCATTTGAGATAGGTTCAAACTTTAACCTCATCCAATCAACAATTGCATTGCCAGAGGCCAATATTGATGATTTAACACAAATGGGTTTAATTATATTTGGTGGAGTAACTCTGATGTTCTATTTTTATTTTTAACAAAAAATTTCTCAGTTTCGGATAAAAATGTATTAATTTTCTTTTTGACGGGAAACAGGAAGGAAAAAAAAAGGCAATGGTACAATTCCAAGGACAAGATGTCCTCCAAAGGGAGAAAACAACAGAAAATATTGAAGACACCTACACCAAAGCAACTACATAATACAGCAAAGAAAACAAGAGAAGTTATCAAGGAAAAAAAAACTGCATTCCAATTTTTAAAATTGATAGAAAATGAGCCCTCCCAAACTCTGATTGACACCAATGCCCAAAAACAATATTAATTTTACACAGTTCAAAAAACAGATAAAACAAGTTACAGATAAATAACATACAACACAAAATTATGCTACAAGTTTGATTACGCTTGAACCAGAAAAATATCGTCCTGAATAGTGCAATGAACATCACCCAATGTATCAAAACAGGCAAGTTCAACTCAGCTCAAATATCTAACATCATCACCAATGTTGTATCTTCACCTACAAACCCAATCATCCATTTCACAAGCCTTTCAGTAACCAGTCGACCTATAAGTTCATCGCAGTACAAAATGCTTGACAGACATTATATCCCAAAGCATTATCAGCAGCAAAAATTTTAAAAAGTTATATATGAACCAAGTTGGGAATCCAAATTGCAATTATATGTATTCAATTTTTTCAGAAAAACAACTTAAAACAACAGATTACAACAAAAGAAAACTGAGTACCCTTTTTTTCTGTAAACCAACTTAAGACAGATACATCATCAATCTTCGAACAACAATGAAAACCTAGCCACTGCTTCTCTTTCTCTATCCTCTGTTCATCTACAATAATTTATAGAACACAAAGCTGTGCACTATTTGACTATTGACTGTACATTTTTCAAAAGCTCAACTCCACAAATATTTTCATGTATTACTAATCTAACATTCAAACTCTAAGAATGATAGAACTCAATGGACATCGTGCACAATTATAAACAGAAGCAAAAAACTAACCGCACTATTAGTATTAGAACTTACAGCAGATTTCGTTGCATCATGGCAAGCCAGCCCAACATCAAGCAACAAAAGGCAAATATTAAGAGCAGTTTTCTGCACATAAATAAAGAAGCACTTAACACAACATTACAACTACAGATACAATATTATTTTAGGTAATAATTAATTTACCTCATCTATAGGTCCTCTATTTTGAAACAGAGGTTCAACGACAGACAATGCCTTTGCATATTCGTGAAGATGGAACCAGATAACTGCCTGCATAAGCCCAGTTTTGGAACAAAAGCATCCAAAGAATTAGAAGGCTCAAAAGATATATTCCTTTTTTTCCTATGCTAATTCCTGGAAGAACATATTCAACAGTTAACATAGACGGTAAAAATTATGAAAAGTTAACATACAATGTTTAAGGTAGCAACATATGTGTCAAATTCATCCATGTAAACAGCAGAAAAGGGATGTCCCATTGTACTACTTCCTCTGGACCCTCCAATATTGCTACCCGACTCCACCTGTTCTGCAGATGCTCGAGCAAGCTCTTCACTTCGTTTCTAAACCAACACCAATAAAAAGAAATTAAGAATAGAGATAAATCAACATAAATTTATCATATGTAGAGAAAATAACATGCCATGATGCTGATGCTTGCCTCAATAGAAAAATGCAAAGTATCATTATAAAGGCATGTTAATGTACTGATGCCTCAGCATACTAATTCTATTCCTCATAATTACTACAATTCAGTACTACCATAGCAAACCAAAATCCAAGATAACTAGAATTTGGCTACTACAATTCTAATATGCTAGTTTAGTGAGAAGTTCACACTTTCAATTCATGGTTACTACAATTCAGTGCACTTTCAATTCTAATATGCTAGTTTAGTGAGAAGTTTGATCTATTATTTGCCATTTTTTGAAGTAAAAAATAGAAAATATCTACTCTGTACATAAAATCTAGGCAAAGTGGGTCCGAAATTCAAAACAATGGCACAAGACTAGTTGTCTAAAACATAATTTCAATGTGTTAAGCCTTGATAAGAAAAAACACAGAGTGCTCCAGCAATCAAAAGTTCTACCACTGCTCTCCACCCATAAGCACTGAAAACACACTCCACAACTCCTCAAATCTCCCTGTCAGAAACTTTATATATCATGAGGTATACAAATAAAAAACAGTTTTCAGCATCACCCTAATTCACTTAGGTAGGATCACTAAAATGAAAAATCCAACAACTATAGAACGAGGGAAAAATTCCCATCACCTTTCATTTGAAAACCCCGTTAGTTTGAGTATACAATAACATGTTGCATGACATGTTATGTGCATGCCTGTATATGTAATCAGTGGATACTATAAAAATAAATATATATATATATATATTCATATATCTGCATTTGTGTGAGTGGGAAGAAAATGAGAAATGATACCTTCACATCATTAAGTACATCAAGCAACCTCTTAGGATGTGAGCAACCATCTCGATAGAATTCCGAAAGTCCGATATTATGAAATATCTAATAAGAATATCCATAATATACAAGATTATAAGGGGTACGCAAAAATTTGATAAAATAGATATCCATAAGCCATTTGAATTAAAATGCAGAATCAAGAGGCAACATAATTCAGTATCAATCTATGTCAAAAGAATCTTACAATTGTTGCAAACTACTTGAGATAAGGATTGTTGGTGAAGCAAAGCTAGGGTTATTCAATCAATTACCAAAAAGAAAACCCTATATATTCTTTATAATAAATCACGCTATTTTATTATAAAATGAAATGATTCTCTAGATCACGCTATTTTAACCCATTCATTCCCTTATAATAGAATTCATTTCTTTGGTAAACCACATAATTATGTTTGTTTTTTTTATTTTCCCCATTTCTCAACACATTTCTACCATAAACCATTTATCCTTTAACCACCGAGGGTATATTTCTTGATCACCTTCACTCAAATGGGGCGGCAACCAGTTTTCTTCAAAGAAGATGATATCAAGCACAGCCTGTGACGAAACTATTTCGATAAAATATATAATACAGTCAAGATTTTGATTTAACCCGCATTTGCTTTACTACAATCTTATTAAGCTGCGCAATCCTATAAGTCAAAAGTAGTTAAAATTCTGATACAAGATCCAACACAGACCCAAACACCAGCTATAATCAACTCAAAATAAACAACCAGTTCAACGTAACCCGTTAATTAAAAATTAAAAACCCAATTAAAAAGAATCATTTCAGAAATTGAGTTTTAGAACATAATTACTTTAGCTTTCAAAAAAAATAAGACAATTACTTTGGGATCGTTTGGCTTCCTCTTCAGGCACTCGGACAAGGCGGTTAGGCACTGATCGAACTTGCCCGACTGGAATTGCAATAAGGCATCCTGCGCGTAAGCACGGGTTACGGACATGACGGCTTCGTCCTCAGAAGCTGAAGAAGACCCGTCCCGATTCGCAACCGTTAATGACGAAGATGAAGATGAAGCCATTCGCAAATCGATCGATCAGAGGCCAGGAACAACGAGACCTTATCTAAATGCAATACACGGTTACAAATGAGGAGGATACAAGATCGATAAAGAAAAGATGAACCCTAACGAGCAAGGATAGGTTGGAAATTATTTAAAATCGGAGTGGGGTTTGGGGGTTTTCGAAACCCTACGGTTTGATTATTTTGCAGAGGAGGACACTTGTTTGAGTCTCTTTCGCTAAACAGTGCTGATTTGCAGAGAGAGAGAAAGAGAGAGAGAGAGAGTGGAAATGGATACGACTATAGGCCAAGCTGGGAGGGATACAGTACAGATAGAGGAGGGGGCTTCTTTTGTTGCTGGGTTTTGAGTCCAAGGTGATTAATTTTTGAGTGAATGAGTCTTCGACAGGGCGTCTCAATTGGGCTTTCAGATAACTGTGTTTCTCTTTCTTTTTTGTCATTGTTTAATTGATGGGATGGGCCATCTTTTAATTTTTGAGTCAAAACGCTTTATTAACTTTCAGTTTTCTGGGGGTATGATTTAGAATTTAGTGATGATTTTGTTCAGCTTTGTGTTTCATCTTTGATTTGATTTTGTTAATGGGACTTACCTTTTCTATCTGGCCCGATGATTCAAAATGTTCTAAAATCTTGCTTTCTAACATTTATTTACCATATAATGAAACAATCACACGTAAAAATTTCTTACAAAATGTTTTATGCTCGTCGTTTTCTCGTTAAACTTTGCAATTGAAAGTCACGTTGTTTTCTAGCCAAGCATATCTATCGAGATGGGTAATGTTGCCGGTGGTTGGTTAGATTTGGTCATAAGGTGTAATCCTCATAAACGTGGCAACATAGTGGTTTTTTTTTTTTTTTTTTTTGTGTGATGTAAATGTATGTTTTAGGGATATTGTGACTATTGGATGTTTGTTTGTTGTTTTTTAATTTATATATGTAGCAAACAAACAAAAGAACCGCTCACCAAATCAACATATGGTGACACTAAATGAATGCAAGTTCCAACTCTGAAATTTTTCATCAAACTGCTTTCGAAAAGTTTCATATTCTCGTTAAACTCTTGCAATAAGTCATGACATTTTTTATTCAAGCATATTGATTGATGGTGGTAATGTTGTTGGTGATTGACTAGTAAGATTGGATCGTAAGGTGAAATCCGCATAAGTATGTATGTCAACATAATTTTCTCTTCGGTCATTTTAAAGATACGCTTGCTATTGGATGTTAGTGTAACTCTATATTATTCTTACCATTAGCAAACAAACAAAAGTAACTCACCAAATCAACATAGGGTGGCACTGAATCAATGCATATTCCCAAGTGTGATGAAATTTTTCATCAAATAGTTTCCAAAATGTTTCATAAGTGTGGTTTTCTTCGTTAAACTCTTGCAATTAAAAGTCGTGTCATTTTCTTGCCAAGCATATCTATGGAGATGGTAATGTTGCTACTGATTGGCTACTTAGATTTGGTCATAAGGTGCAATCCCCGCAAAACATGGTGACATAGTTTTTCCTTTATGTTATAGTTCATTTATATTTTAGAAATACTCTGACTATTGAGTGTTAGCGTGTCGTTTTTTGCTTTATTTTTTTAGCAAACAAACAAAAGATACCCTCACCAATTCAACATGTGGTGATATTCTATCAGTACAAATTTCCAACTTTGTGGAAACTTTTCATCAAACTAATCCTCGAAATGTTTCATGCATGTTGTTTTCTCATTAAACTCTTACAATTAAAAGTTGTGTCGTTTTCTCACCAAGCATATCTATAAAAGTTGTGTCGTTTTAGGTGTAGCCGATAAGCATGATTGAATGTGAAAAACCCATTTGCTCAATCTCTCTATCATCACTTGGCATGTAGGTTAAAGGTTTGAATACATGCTTGGCCACTCGACTTGTAAATAATCAATCGAGAAGATAATATATACAACATGCCCGGCCCAATGATTTGGGGTTTAAGGCTTTGATAGGGTTCTATAATATATAGAGAAAAAGTGTGAGCAAGAAACTGTCAAGAGAGAAGCTGGATGATATATTAATCAAAGAGCTCAGGCAGTCAGCCAACTATCCATTTCTCAAGAGCTCCAAGATGCACTCTGCATTCCGGATATCTTGGTTCTCTTGTGAATCCTCATTGTTATTTCCTTGCGAAAAATCAACACTTGTGAAAGTCTGGACACCCGGGCCATGACCACCACAGTCCCGTTCCCTTCCTTGCTGTGCTCGTCTTACTTCCTTCTGATGCTCGGTTAGTTCCAGCCTTCTCCTCTTCAAACTTGGATGAGGCATTTCCTTGTGCTCACCACCACCTATGGTATCCTCTACAAGTTCTACTCTTTTTGAGACTCTGTTATGGGTTGCATTCACCCTGTATCTTGGCAGAACAGCTGCGACTTGCGGTCTAGATTGACATCTTTGAAGTGGTAGGCTTCTCTTGTGGAGGTTTATTCTGCCATTTCTCCAGAGCTTGTCTAGTACATTAAGTAAGGTCTTAGGGTAATCCAACTTGGTTTGTTCACCATATGTGGAATTCCAAAAAGTGATGGTCTGCTCTGAAATGGACAGATTTGGGTGATCAAGAGTTTTTTCAAGGATGGGTGCTTGGAGTATGAGAAATGCAGAATCAAAGATTATTGGAGGCTGACTCCTCCGTAAACAACCAAGTGTTTCTGCCCATAGGAGTTGAAATTGATCACTGGTGCTCTCATCCTGCATTTCCATGAGTACCAGCCACTGAAGCAGTGGGCTGGATATCAACTGCAAGCACATAGATACACAAAACCATGTTTAAGCATTTTTAAGAAATATAAGCTAATGCATGAAAGCCAAAAATTAAGGTCAATACTGATTTTTTATTATCATTCACTCAGAAAAACAAGGGAATAGAAAACAAAAGATGCAACAGCTGGACAACACTTTCAGAACAGCTTTCCTATTAGGGACACTCTAATAAAGGGTTTCCAGCACATTCCAGGTTTCAATTTTTCAAAGAAACTGTTTATTTTCTTCAATAAAGTAGGAGCCGCTACATGCTCATTATTTATTTATTATGACTAATTCGAACAGATGGATCTCACTTAAGCCAGTAACAACTTTAATCTAAACTTGCTTCAATTTGAAAGAAGATATGTTCTTCTTCCTCAATGCCATGATCTAAAGACTCAAACAGTGAACTGGTATATAGTATTATCATATCTCTTCGCTTCACTATGAAAGGAGACAAAAATCACAAATCACAGGAAATAGGCACGAACCTCAAAGAAGGAAAGGATATCCTCTTTCAAGTGAAGGGAACTGATGAAGTAGGCCAATGTAGAATATACCCTGCAACTTTCACATCAAATGGAGACATTGATATTAATGAAATTATACAAGGAACAGCACAAACATGAAAGCTAAGAAATTGGCTGCCCTGACTTACCTCGAGGCCACCCTAAGACCAATTGGTGAGTCTGTTCCTATCTTTGTCTGCAACAACTCCATATATCTGTATAATATTGATGCATTAAACATGAGAAATGACAGCGGAACCATTTGACTTTGGCTAAATTCAAGTTAGCAGCATTTGCACTTACCTAATGGTCACTTTCAGGCAGCATGTGATGGCACTGGAGACCTTGTAGTTAGAGCCATGCTTATCATTTCCATCTGAACTTATTTCTGAAGAACGGAAATTTTCCAAAATACATATCAACACATAACCATATAAGGCAATGAGATGGAGATCCAGACCCTTGCATTTTAACTCAAGCTCATCGCCACACACAAGCATGCTAGTATACTTGTCAAGGCACGTATCCAATATTGAAAACAGATCCTCAAAGAAACTTCCAATAGTGAAACACCCAGGCAACGAGGTACACATAGAACCATAGAGTGAGGTCCACAATGTGATAACTCGTTCAAGCTCAACCTGTATCTGCAATGAAGCAGGAGATTCTTCCAGGGAGCTTCTAATGTTTGCTGACTTAAAGTCTTTCTGGGTGCAGGAGCATACAACTAGCGGGTAGGACAAGAGATACAACATGGCAAAACAACATTTGCTGTCAGAGTCCATTTTCAATAATGAAAAACCCTTCACATCATTAATGTAGAACTTCAGACCTTCTGCTATTGCTATCCACATACTTAAGCAGCTAGGCCCACTGTGCTTGTACAATAATCCACTAGTGACAACTAGACTTTCCAGGGGATCAAATGATGATAGCATAAATTTAAAATATTTCTGCATTCTATGCAGAATGAAGTCTGTTTTGAGTACACGCAAAGTTGACTGAACCACCACACAGAAGTAAAGTACACTTAAATAAACCATTGGTGAAACCATGTCCATATAGGCAACAGAGCTTACGTCCAATTTTGCAAATCCAATGTCAGCAACCACTTGCAGGTATTCAATATGCTTGATGTCTAATGGCACCTTGTAAAGAGGGGATCCCACTATAGTAGGTTCTATCTCCTCACCTACAGCCTCCACCAACTGAAGGCATATGTGATGCAAGTCACTTCTGTCACTACTATTCGAACTTACTTCTTCACATACATTTTTTATGAACTTCAATATTGCATTCAAACACAACATAATATCATTATAACTAATAGACGACCTTTTGAACTCCAATTGAATTCCTTTCAACACAGACCTAAATAACTTTAAGGAAGCATCAGCAGCTGGAATTCTTTTATCATGGGAGACAGTTTCCCCTGGCATTTGACAGATAAGAACATAGATCACCTTTAAATGAAAGTCCAACAGACTCAGATCCCATGGCAACCATTTGATGGGATACTGCTTCCACGAGCAATTGCCAGATATAAGGGGAGCATTCGCATAGCTTTTGGCTGATAACTGATGGCTTACCTGGTTAAGCGAGTCATAATCTATATCTTTACATTTCGCCAATATAAAATCATCAAGCAAATCTACACACAGATTCCTTGTCCAGATCTTCTTGCCATCAGGATCCATTTGAAAAACTGCTTCAAAGATAGGCTGTACAACCAGTCTGATCATTGAAGAATCATTGACAGAGGTATCAAGTTTATGTAATAAATAACACCATGTGTTCAAGCAAGCCAATTGAACAGATACATCACAATTAGTCGACATGATGCCTATTAGTGGTGTCATAATGAGCTTTATGCTTTTTAAGGATCCATTTTTTTGGATTTCACCACAGTTTCCTTTGTATGTTCCTATTTGTTGCACACCATTGTCCACTTTTACATCATTTGTTTCACAGGGTAATACCATTGGAGGGTGAACAAGAGCATCAATAAGACCTTCCCAGGCAACCTGCGAAATTGGAATACATAACAATGTTAATTTAAGACATGGCATCTGAAAAATTCTATAAGAGCACTCTGATACTAAATTAACTATTAAAACTGACCAGGATTAGGAACTTGGTTCTAGAAGCCCACTCAACAATAGACAACAGCTAACTAGTGGATATCGGTTCATGACTTGGAATCTTGTAAACCCAAACTTAATTTGGTTTAAAGTTTTTATATTCAAATTAGGTTTAGTATTGCGGCATCATCAACCCTTTAAGACTAGAAGTACCTGCGAAGCAATTTGAACTTGTGAGTCATGATCTGAAAATGTATGCTGAGGAATTTTCAGCATTTCATTAATTAACTGCCTGTTCTTCAAGGCATGAGGTCCCAGTAAACGGATAAACCATCCCCAGGCTTGAATAGTATGAACCTTCATGCCATTGTTCAGCATGTTGTGCATCCCAGTAAGCAATTTTGGCTTCAAATCTTTCAAAAGTGCCTGTGTACGAAAGAAAAAGGAAATATGGATTTTATAAATTACAGAAAAATCCAAGTCTAATACAATTTTATATTGTCAGTCTTAAGACTTAAGCTTGTCATCTGCATTCTTGAAACAACAAGCAAGACAAAGCTCAAGAAAACACCTCATGGTTCTACATGTGAAGGCCAAGCCAACGAAGGCATGCAATACATAATGGTTGAGCGATTTAGTGGAGGAGGTAATACTGTGAAGGCCAAGCTAACCATGTTAAACTTTTTCCTGATATGGCTTAACCTACTTGTACTAAAAGTGAGACTTGAAGAAAACGACAAGCACGTGAGTACCTTGGAAAGATTTAGTGGAGGAGGTAATATTGTAGACTTCATCTTCAACAGACACCTTTCCGACATATCCCTCTCCCTCTTATCTAAACTAAGAAGTCTTCTATATATTGGAGGAGCCCATATATGCGACAATTCTCTCATACTCTCACTTAGCAAAGATGCTAGCTTCACAACAGCCTGTCATAATAGCACAGATACATAGAGGAGTAAGTGGGAAATCAACAATGTCAATTTACAGTTAAAAACAACTAAAATCTTACATCCCCATGATCTCATAAGAATTATTTAAAGAAACATCATACAATGCGTAGTAGTTATGAAATGTGCTCTATACTGAGCATGTAAGTGCTGAGTGTACCTGCATAGCCTCAAAAGTCGTCGACAAAGAACCAATGGGATTGTCAATTGCATGAACTACTGCAAGCAAAAGAGAATGGAAATGGGCGGCTAAAAGTGGTGTAGCTAACTGTTGGACAGATATGCACCATACTCCTAAATTGCAAACCGCCTGCAGTTCAGAAATCAAAGGGGTTAATATGCACACATGAAAATTTTATATTTATTTGAAAACAAACAAATTGCACAGATTATGGTAAATTACCGTTAATGTAAATAATTACCTTCATTTTCGTGGTTGTGATGAGTTTTGCCAATGACTCTAAAACCAATTTGACATCATCCACTGCGAGACAGAGAAATTGGCGATAGACAATTAAAACATGTTACCCATGACCATGAGATTAGTTTAAGCTCAGCTGCTTTAAAAGTTTAAAAGTTTAATTTCAAACAATAAGATGTTCGAGTGGGCTTCATATACCTGCAATTTCGGCAACAATGGATGGATGATATATCATAAAGCCCAAACATTTCAATGCCTGAGTCACACTGCAATTTGAAACCCAAATACAAAATCCAAAATATATTGAATTACACTTCAATAAAATTTGAAATTAAAATTTGAAAAAAAAAACAGAGGAACAGAGTATCGGAACTCACATTTCTTCGTCATCGTCTTGAATATCGGCAATGATTGGATGGATTAGACTCTGAGAGGTTCGCGCGAGTGTTTGAATTGAAGCATGGCTGTCAGATGACTGTTGCTGTAGGTGTAAGAGGGTAGAGTAAGCGAATGACTTGTTTGCTTTGGTTCCCGAAGCTGAAGAAATGAGGTATTTGATTTCATCGAGCTGGTCTGAGAAATTCGACATTGTTGCGGTGGGAGAGACGAAGAAACAGTGCCAGTAGTATGTGATGTGAAACCCTAAAGTGGGACTGCTGTTGAGATGGGGAGCACATTTCGCGCCAAAACCCGGGAAAGGGCGGGTTCAGTGAAACGGATGGCGGGTTGATTAATTGATTAAACGGCCGTTGGGCTACAGGCCCCAAAAAAAAAAAAAAAAAAAAAAAAAAAAAAAAAAAGGCAAGATAAAGTACTAAGCAGCGCTGCACCTTATTCTGTTCAGCATGTGATTGCTAGCGGTGTTTGTACTGGTCCCACATCAAATAAATTGAAATCCATGGTCCGATCATGTCCCAAAAAGTGGGTATCCAGAATCAGACTTTAAGATATCCGCCATGTATCACTTTAATTTAATCACAATCGTCCAGACGAACTCATCCACACCTAGACAATTGCCATTTTGAACTAACCAATTAGCTTCTAAATCAGCCTTTTGTTTTTGTTTTTTCAAATACAAGGGATATTGGAAACAGAGGATATCAAATTGAGCTACAAGTCCCTTACTGTAATTAGCTTCTCAAATCTTAGCAAGCTTATCGAACTTGACCAGATAGAATCTCATACCTTATAAATTAAATCATTGAGCTTTGATGTGAGTGCGAGACTAATGTATATCATACAAATTACATGATGCATCTTTATCACAAGTATATTTATGTTGGACCAAATCAGATTTATACACGCTTGCATTTGGCATGAGGGAAGCAAACAAAGTTCGAAGTAGATTTTTTGTCAAAGAAAGACTGAAGTTGAAAGTTTGGAACCAATTTGCTGACATAATTAACGTTCCTTAATCAACAATCATATGGTGTAATTAAAATGATGGATAGTGACCCCCCAAAAGATTTGTTGCTCGTGGGAGTTTTGAATTTGCTCAATGTTCTTTAATTGCCCCATGTTTATGAAATGAATCTTTATCTTTGTCTAAAAAACCAAAAACTTCCCCGCGCAACACAGGTGCATCTCATCATTACGTAATATGTATATACGCACATCTCATTTTCATAGCTGAATTTAAAGAATCATCCCATACGTCAGATCAATTCATACATATACAAATTGTTACTTGTGACATTGTATCAAATTGAGCCACAAGTCCCTTATTGTAATTAGCTTCTCAAATCTTAGCAAGCTTCTCGAACTTGACCATATAGAATCTTATACCTTATAAATTAAATCATTGAGCTTTGATGTGATGTGCGAGACTAATGTATATCATACAAATTACATGATGCATCTTTATCACAAATATATTTATGTTGAACCAAATCAGATTTATACACACTTGCATTTGGCATGAGGGAAGCAAACAAAGTTCGAATATTTTTTGTCAAAGAAAGACTGAAGTTGAAAGTTTGGAACCAATTTGCTGACATAATTAACGTTCCTTAATCAACAATCATACGGTGTGATTAAAATGATGGATAGTGACCCCCCAAAAGATTTGTTGCTCATGGGAGTTTTGAATTTGCTACTCAATGTTCTTTAATTGCCCCATGTTTATGAAATGAATCTTTATCTTTGTCTAAAAAACCAAAAACTTCCTCGCGCAACACAGGTGCATCTCATCATTACGTAATATGTATATATGCACATCTCATTTTCATAGCTGAATTTAAAGGATAATCTCATACGTCAGATCAATTCATACATATACAAATTGTTACTCGTGACGTTGTATCAAATTGAGCCACAAGTCCCTTATTGTAATTAGCTTCTGAAATCTTAGCAAGCTTCTCGAACTTGACTAGATAGAATCTCATACCTTATAAATTAAATCATTGAGCTTTGATGTGATGTGCGAGACTAATGTATATCATACAAATTACATGATACATCTTTATCACAAATATATTTATGTTGGACCAAAACAATATTAGTCGCATATATTATGTGTACTGTAATTAAAGGTAGAGGAGTGCCACATCAATGATTGATCATAATAATTCTCCATTATCACCTTATCAATTTCGTAACGCAACGATCATACATGTCAAACAAAATAATACACGCTTGAGCTTGACTAAGAAAAGTTCAATTTTATTTTTACCCAAGCAAAGTAATTCGCAGGCGTTCACGTCAAAGACTGAAGACGTGGACACAGGTCAGCACGTTAATAAAATAATTACATCCCGCCCCGCGTGTCAAAATTCGCGAAGCTCGATGTAATCCCAGTGTTTGGATTGGTAGGACGTGGATCCGACGTGGAAGTCTTTCCCATCGTCGAATTCAACGACCCAACCTTAGACGATATTCGTGTTGCCGTGGGATAGGATAAGGTGTGACTTGAAAAGGGCGAGACGAGACAAGATGGGAATAAACAAGTAGTAATAGAATCACACAGAGAGAGGTCGAGACTCGGAAGCAATGGTGTCAAATTCGTGTTACAGTTCTCTGGCTCGTATTATAAATACTGCCCCGACATTTCATTTACCCACGTTCAATTGTTCCAAGCGTTATTCTTGTGCTCTCAAATTCAATCTCCCAAACCGATCAAACAACTTGCTGAATCGCTCTACCACTTCTGGTATTATTCTCTTCTTTCTCTCTTTGCTTATGCTATCTGTTTGGTTTCCCAGAAAACTAATTTCAGGGCTTTACTGACAAGCTTCATTGTTTCTTTCGTTCATGTTGTGGAATTTGCAGATTTTATTGGAATCGAGCACCTTCGTTGTTGGCTTTTCAGGTATTTTTCAATTACATAATCCAAGCGTGGAGTATGAATTAGAATTTCAGACGTTTATTTGAAATATTTCAGAGAAGAGAGAACCGTACACCCTACACAAAGCTATACAAAGAGAAATCAGAGGAAGAAGAAAGAGAGATGACGATCAAACCGGCGGTTCGCATATCCGAGCGGAAGCTGATAGTGAAGGACCGGACGATTCTGACGGGAGTACCGGACAATGTGGTCGCCACCTCCGGTTCGTCTTCCGGTCCGGTCGAGGGAGTCTTCCTCGGCGCGGCTTTCGAGGGGGACAACAGCAGGCACGTGATTCCCTTAGGAACTTTTCACGACGTCCGGTTCTTGGCGTGCTTTCGGTTCAAGTTATGGTGGATGGCCCAGAAAATGGGCGATCAAGGAAGAGACATCCCGCTCGAGACTCAATTCCTATTGGTGGAGACCAAGGACGGGTCCCACCTAGAATCCGACGACGGAGACGAAGAGAATCAGATCGTCTACACCGTGTTCCTCCCCCTTATCGAAGGCTCTTTCAGAGCTTGCTTGCAAGGCAACGCACAGGACGAGCTCGAGCTCTGTCTGGAGAGCGGCGACGCTGACACCAAAGCGTCGTCGTTTTCGCACTCGCTATTTATCCACGCCGGGACGGACCCGTTCTCTACAATTGCTGAAGCAATCAGGGCCGTTAAAGCTCACTTGCAGACGTTTCGTCAACGGCACGAGAAGAAACTCCCCGGAATCGTTGACTATTTCGGGTGGTGCACCTGGGACGCGTTTTACCAGAAGGTGACTCAGGAGGGCGTTGAGGCTGGGCTTGAGTCCTTAGCCGCCGGTGGCACCCCGCCGAAATTCGTTATCATCGACGACGGCTGGCAATCCGTTGGCTTCGACGAACAGCAGGGGTTGCTTAGGTTGACTGGGATCAAAGAAAATTCAAAGTTTCAAAAGAAGGACAATCCGACGGTGGGGATTAAGAACATTGTGAACATAGCGAAGCAAAAGCACGGGTTGAAGTACGTGTACGTGTGGCACGCAATCACCGGGTATTGGGGCGGGGTGCTACCCGGGATCAAAGAAATGGAGGAATACGGATCCCTGATGAAGTATCCGAATGTGTCCAAAGGAATTGTGGAGAATGAGCCAACATGGGAAACGGATGTAATGGCCGTACAAGGTTTGGGTCTAGTTGACCCCAAAAGCGTATACAAATTCTACAACGACTTGCACAGTTACTTGAGCTCTGCAGGTGTAGATGGGGTTAAGGTGGACGTGCAGTGCATACTCGAAACTCTCGGAGCCGGGGTGGGCGGTCGGGTGGAGCTCACCCGGCAGTACCACCAGGCTCTGGACGCGTCGGTGGCCCGGAATTTTCCAGACAATGGGATCATAGCGTGCATGAGCCACAATACTGATGCGCTCTACTGCTCCAAACAGACGGCAGTCGTGAGGGCGTCGGACGATTTCTACCCACGTGACCCGGTGTCGCACACGATCCACATTGCGGCGGTTGCGTACAACAGCGTGTTTCTCTGCGAGTTTATGCTGCCCGATTGGGACATGTTCCACTCACTCCACCCGGCGGCTGAGTACCACGCGTCCGCCAGGGCCATCAGTGGTGGGCCCATCTATGTCAGGTAACTAACTACTATTGTATTGACTAATGTTTGTTTGTGTTCTTAATTAAGCAAATGTTGATTTTTTGTGAGAATGTGTTTGCTAATTAAGTAATCGGTGTTGTTGTGTTGGGCAGTGATGCGCCTGGGAAGCACAACTTTGAGCTACTGAGGAAGCTGGTGTTGCCTGATGGGTCGGTGCTCCGAGCCCGATTGCCGGGAAGACCGACCCGGGACTGCTTGTTCTCAGATCCGGCCCGAGACGGGGTGAGCTTGTTGAAGATATGGAACATGAACAAGTACACAGGCGTGCTTGGTGTGTACAACTGCCAAGGAGCGGCGTGGAGCACCACAGAACGGAAGAACGCGTTCCACGAAACCAAGTCAGAAGCCATCACAGGTTTCATTCGCGGCCGCGACGTCCACCTCATCGCAGAGGCCGCCGTCGAAGCCGATTGGAGAGGGGACTGTGCCGTCTACGGTCACCGGACGGGAGATCTGGTGACGCTGCCTTACAATGCGTCCCTGCCCATCTCTCTCAGAGTGCTTGAACACGAGATTTTCACGGTGACCCCCATCAGGGTTTTGGGCTCTGGCATCAGTTTCGCTCCCTTGGGACTGGTGGACATGTATAACGCAGGGGGGGCCATTGAAGGGTTGAGATATGAAGAGAATGGAACTAATGGTTTGGTTCGATTGGAGGTTAAGGGGTGTGGCAGGTTTGGCGCCTACTCTTCAGCTAAGCCCAGGAGGTGTTGCGTGGGTTGCAATGTGGTAGATTTTGACTACAATTCGTCATCTGGGTTGGTGCGCTTGAGCTTGGACCATTTGCCTGAGGAGGAGGAGGAGGAGGGTCAAAAAGTTCACGTCGTTCAGATAGAGTTATAAGAAATGATTCTTCATCCATCATTAGGCTTAGTTTTCGAATTCTCTGCTCTTCTCTGTTGAGAACGCCCATTGAATTATGTAATAGTTGGGAGGGAGGAAATTTTAAATTTTGGAATAATTTTATATTGTAACTCGTATCAATAATGTAGAAATATCAGTTCATTTGCCAAAATGAATGTCTTACATTCAAGTTGTTCATGACGACTAGCCATACAGGCAAATATCCATGATTCATTTGGGTTAAGATTTTAACAACTCCATCATCTCGTGTAAGACAAAGCATAATGCACAATCTCAAACAGAAATGTTTGAGGAGCAGGGCATGGCCTAATAATCCTCCATTGCTTTCCCAGCACCAAACTTCATGTAATCATAACCATCAGAAAATTTAAGACTACAATAAGCTAAATGTTCAGATCCAAGCATTCAATCTCTTAAAATGGTACAAAAGATAAATACTTCTAATGGTGAAATAAACTACGTTAAATGATACAGAACCTACCATCATACATCTTCCTGGCTGGGCAACTTACCATCACATATCACAATCGCATCGTGACGGCAGAACAAACCTACAATCTAATATTCCATTCTCACTAGTGCATTATTTGGAGCTTCTGCCGATCCATGCTGCATCCAATCCTTGGCGCATATAAGGGCTTCCACTGTCTCTGGTCGTAAAGAACTCCTGTACTGATCCATCTCTTTGGCAATGGTATCAAAAACAGACTCAGAAGGAACTGTGGATACCGGAATTGACAAAATATCACGAGCCATCTTTGAAAGTGTCGGGTACTTCATCTTGTTCAGTTTCCACCAGCCCAACACATCAAATTCATGGACTCGAGGCAACAGAGACTCGTCCAAATACTGATCCAGCTCTGACTTCATCTGTTGGCTAGTAGTCTCCATGATGTACATATCAAAATCCGTGAGTCCATTGTCTGTCAGAAGAGTTCCTCCTTGGGAATCCTCTGTCTTGACGTTGGCTCCCCCAGTTCCGTCATCTGCATAAGTTGGTGTGAGAGGCAAAGGCAGTGTCAAGTATTCATGGAAGAGCTCATGAATTCCATCATCAACAATCTTGATAAATGTTGGAGCTTCTTCACCGTAAATTTTGTTGAAACTGAACTCGACAAGCTTCATCTTGAACCTGGGATCCATAACTACCGCTGTTGCCAAAGCCAGGCTACAGTTCTTCCAGTATTTTTCAATCCTATCTTGCATTACCTTAGTTAGGCTGCTAATGAAGGGATCCTCACTTGTAATTGTACGAACCAGCTCTGTCTGAATCCTCCACACTTCATGGAAGAAGGTAACTGCAGTTGGGTTTGATGTAGTGGTAAGGATGTTGGCTGCATCAAAGATAAGTTTCAAGTATGTGCAGAGAGTATCAACTTGCTTCCAATCTTCCAACGACGGGGCATGTTTGTAATCAGAATCAGATGTATCCAAGCAAGAAAACACTTCCTTTAATTCAGAAGCGGCCACCAGCATCTCATACGTTGTATTCCATTGAGTTTGGTCGTCAAGAGATAGGGTCCTTTCACTTGGGACTTGAAGCTGATTCTTAAGCTCGAGAAATTTCTCCTCATGGGACTCTGACGTCTTCACATACTTGACACTGTCCCGGATTTTTTTCACTGTATCTTCCCCTGCCGCTAACACTTCTGTTGCAATGCTACTCAAAGTGCGGGCAATGCAATTTCCCACCAATAACTGACCATTGAGGATATGTGGGTTCTTGATAGGGATAAGAGGCCTTAAATTTGCAAGAGCAGCCTCACTCAATGGCCGATCATAAGTGATTGAAAATAACTTGCTTTCCAAACTCCAATCATGAAGGCAAACAGCAACAGCGTGACTAAGCACAGTATCTGAGTCAGGATATGGTTCCATCACAACATTGAGCAGCCGCCTGTGCAACTTCCAGTCAGTATCAATGAAGTGCCCAGTAATAAACACATAACCCACACTTTGAGAGGAAGTCCACATGTCCAATGTAAGGCAAACACGTCCAGGTATGCCCTCAATAAACTTGGTAAGACTTTGCTTTTCCATTAGGTATGTTGCAACGCAATCTCCTTGAACAGTATTGAAGCTCACCATGTTGAACCGTGGCTGAAGATTCTGGACAAAAGCTACAAAACCAGGATGTTCAACCATATGCAGTGGGTAATCATGCATGATAATCATCCTTGCAATCTCATGGCGGCAACGGTCTGGATCAAACATAATTTGGGGTGTACTAGGAGTTCGGTAACGCCTTTTAGGTGGATTGGAAGAGCTACCACCCCTTGGAGATGGGGTATATGGGGACGATTGACTATTGTTCTGGTTACGGAGAAGTGCTGGGCAAGTCCCCTTGGCGATGTGGCGTTTGAGGTGGCTAGTACCTGCTACTTTTGCACCCGTACTATACGCAAAACTTTGCTTGCATTGGTTGCAGCATGCCCTCCTACATCCAGCACTCACAGTTTCTATGGTGAAATGCTCCCAGACTATGGACTTCTTTTTCCTTCGCTTGTTAGGCTGTGCTTCTGGAATTGCCACCTCATTGTTTTCATAGGGAGTTGCTGTTTTGTCTTCATATTGGGTTAGGGCTAGTGTCTTTTCTTCATCAGGTGTTTCCATCTTGTCTTCATCAGGGGTAGCCATCTTGTCTTGAATAGGAGTGGCCATTTCCTCTTCAACAGGGGTTGCCATTTTGTCTTCAATAGGTGTGGCCATTGTCTCTTCAACAGGGGTAGCCATGCTGTCTTGAGGAGTAAAATCCTGCATTCGGCAAGCAGGAACAACCTTTGAGAAAATGACAAGTCAATGTTGACAACAAAAGCATAAAGATAACAGAATACATGAAAAGAAAACATACTTCGCTAGAAAAATCTCAGCATGAACCAAAAAGAGAATCAACATTATAAAAGCTTCTTGCATTGAGACTGTGTTGTTAAAATTGGTATTGTAGCTCATAGATGTCCGAATAATATGATAAAAGCATAATGAATAAGGATTTCAATGTGATGAGACAACTTAAGAACAGCAGATTAGTTATTTAGCTGCAGTTGACGTGTGTTATGCAGCTAAATAAAATAGCCAAAAACAGCAGTTGATGTGTGTGCAAGCATACATGGAATATGAAAGGAATCTTACTTAAACATCATTCCAGCAATTCTTCCTCATCTTTTTACTATCATGAGACATGTAACAGACACAGTTAAGCAAAGCAATTCTGCTTGTTAGACACTCCTACTTACACAACTACACAACATCTGTCAACGCTATGCCAATTATCTCTACCTATTTCCCTTTGCTGAGAGACAAGCCCATCTCGCATGCCAAGTTTACCTACAAAGACAAGTCCGCCTAGTACCAACGCAAACCCGTGCTTCAAGTACAACGGTTGTTGTTGTTTTTTTTTTTTAGGCAGGGTGGGGGGTTGGGTGTTAAATAAGTTTAAACAACCCGTGTGAAACAATAGTTATAACTTATATCGTATATTCCACAAACTGGGCCCAATCAAACTCAAATGGGCCGAGACAAAAACATGAACTAGTCAACCCAAAAAAACCTTGACCTGCCTAGATCTAAAACAGTCCATCGGATTTAAGGCCATCTTGTATCTTCTTCAATCAAGATGAACTCTCTCACCTAACAATGGATCGCAGATGGGTCAGGTCAACACTGGACAAAAATACCTGATAACGGGCTAAAAGGATGTAAAAATAATTAAACGAAAACCAGATCTCTACGGTTTCAGCCGTTAGATCGAGCTTGGACTTTACAACTTCTTAAACGCAAGCCCAGATTGAAGAAAAAAACCCAGTTCTCAAAGAGTTAACAGATCATCCTCAACGCGATATGAAAACGAAGACAAAAGGCGCTAAATTAACTCAAACCCAACACCAAAAGAACCTACAGACAAAATTAAACCTAATTACAGCAAAATCGCGCTACGAGATTCAAAATTTACAACACGAAAACCGAAATTAAAGACAAAATTGAGGTCTTCTTCGAAATACAAAAGCCCGAGAGAAGAAGAAGGAAAGCGAAAAGCGGAGACCTATAAAAGCGTTGAAAAACAAAAATTGGGGCAAGAGTCGGGTATTTTACCAGAGGGGGTTTCGAGGGAGACCCGGAGAGAGCGAGATCGGTGACGCGGGCGTGAAGCTCGAAGGCCGAGCTTCGAGTCTCCGGCGGTGGCGAGATCTAGGGTTTTGCAGAGAGAGAGAGAGAGAGAGAGAGAGGGGAGGAGGAAAGCGAGATTGGGCTTTGGTTTGGAATAAACCCGGGAAGCTAATTGGACCTAAAACAAAAGAAGTGGTTGGGACTTTGGGACTGGGACTGGGACTGGGACTTGTTAGGAGGGGATAAGATTTTGGGGGTCAGATTGAAAATAGGGCAATTCTATTTTTTTTTGGGCATGGACTTTCAAAATCTGAAGGTCCAATAATAATTATATTATTAATATCCGATCTCCCTCTCTCACACTCTCTCTCTCTCGATGCGCTTGTATGCCTTTGTATTTTGAATTTTAACCGGACCACAAAGCCAGCCAGCCGAAGCCAAGCCAGCCCACCACCCCCAACTTTCCCTCACGTTTCTTAGTCCTTCCTTCCAGTCCGTACGTGTAGGGCGTGTAGCCCACCGAATATATTGGACTATTTAAACGGGTGGGGGCCCACACAGGGCTTTGCTTGCTTTTTTTGGTTGGAGGGTGAAATTTTTCAGCCCAATGATGTGTCCATAGCATTCACAGAGAGAGAGAGAGAGAGAGAGAGAGAGAGAGAGAGTTGATTTTGAAATTTGTCTTGTGACTTGTGTGAGGCTCAGTGTCAGAACCAAACTTGGGTTTAAACATCCATGCTCATGGCCTTAGTTGGGCATTGGGCAAGCGCAGGATGTCTTTCTGAAGGGTATTTTGGGCATGAAGATGAAAATTGCTGGATGATTTTGGAAATTGATTTTCTTAATGAGGGGGAGAATCATATCATCCTACCAACAACTTGATTTGGACATTAGTTGAAAGTGAGAAAAGAGAGAGACCATAATACGGAACACAATTAGTGGTAGAGATATGTCAATTCTATAGTCACATCTGTTGTTCTAATTAACCAACAAAAAGAAAAGAAAAAACTTGGAGGATGAAACAATCCTTAACCAATATCAAAGTTCAACAAGTCTTAGGTTCGACTGGTATCGTATTAATGTCAAAATATCAGAAAGAGGTGCAATAATGGCCAAAATGAATGTGCCACCACCACCAAGCAACCATTGCTTCAAGCTTCTCTCCTCTTCAAGGTTCTTAACTACAGTCCCTTGTTTTTTTCTTTCTTTTTTCGGAGTATGAGATCATCTAGGGTGCTCTTTCTTTTTTGTTAGACGATAATTACATAAATTTTCAATTGATTCATTGTGTCTAATCATTTTAAATTCCAAATGTTACCATATATAGTTATTTCATATTCACTTTAAATGTCAAAATTGATGACATTTGAATGAACCACTTGACTGTCCTACGTTTTTAATAAATTCAAATTCAACTAAACTTGTCCACCTTTTTCTTTATTTAATTCGGGTGTTGATATGTCATGAATTTATTAATAATACTAATTACTAAATAAATACATTTCTTTTATGACATGATTGAATTGATAACGTCGTCAAAATTATTTCGTAAACACTGACTTTACAAGAATCTCATACCATTCATGAAGATATTTATACAAGTTTACATACATATAGCATCTCGTCTTGTATGATTGCAAAAGCTCAATGGTTCAGATGCAGAAATTTATACAATTTTACATATACATACAGAATTGTCACAGTTCAAATAACTTAGCCAGGTTGATTGGTGGGAAAGAAAAAACAAAAACAATAAGCCATTATTTGTAAGCTTAATAGGCCTGATTTTGGGGCCCAATGACGTCCCCCTTTGTTCAAAATCATAAGCCTTGTAAATTCATCACACATACATATGGTGGTGTTAGGGGTTGAGACTTTGAGGCATGTAGCTAGGCTACTAGGCTAGGGTGGGGTTGGGAGCTAATTAATTTGGTTTTGGTAGAAATATATTGAGAAGTCAATGGAGGACTTGATTTAATAATCGAAATTAATTAGGATGCTCTAAAGCTTAAGGATTTCTTTCTAGGCTCCCCTTTTCTTTTGTTTGCTTTTAAGGAGTTGTTGCATATTCCCCAAGTAAAAGGAAGACGTAAGCGTTTTACACCAGATAAATGTGGCTGTCTCTTTCTTGGCTACCAGCAACCAACGAAAGTCTATTTTGGTCACTTGACTTTCTTGACTTAGTATTTAACTTTAGACTTTGTCCGCTTCCTTCCTCCGCTTCAGTCCGCAATGCCTTTTCTTTTTTCTTTCCATTCCATGAGCTTCAGCTATATATACACTACTTAATTTCTTCAGAAATTAGAATACCGGCCCTACTTAATTTTTAATTTCTTGATGTAAAGTAAACGTAGGAATTCTTTATAGATGAAATTCAATTCCTAATGAGAATTCCAATTTATGATTATAAAACACACCATTAATTCCCGTGAGCTAAATTAATTAAGCTTAAAGACTGTCATATGATATACTGAATTATAGTATACATATATATATTTTCCTTTTCTTTTCTTTTCCTATGGGAAGTGTTTGGAATTTTGGATTATTTGATTTGATGGATCTCCAAAAACTAAAAAACATATGAACGAGCAGGTCCTTCCTAAATTTACTACTTATGTTTTTGTTGTAGAGTGTTCAGTGCTGTTTGTGGGAGGGGATCTTTAATATCAAACAGAGATTCTTCTCCTAAACAGTAGAAACCAACACCTACACTACACTACACCACACGTACTTAATTATTGATTAATAATCAAGAAAATGGATACATAATTGACTAATAATAATCAAGTAATAATAAGGTGTTTAAAACACTCGTATAGCAAGTCCACTTCTCCGTCTCTGGTGTGTGTCTGACACATATATAATTATATATACTCGAATATTCAGAATTAAACCAAATTAAAAATGCAATTTAAATTTGAAAATTTGAAAGATTGAAAAAGAAAAAGACATGAGGAAAGAAACAAAGGGAGGGAGAGGGAGGCTGCTAATTGGGAAGGGAAAAGACAAAGTCGTGGGTTAAATCAACTCGACAAAACCCTTCAATCGTGTTGGGCATGTGTGTTGGTAGATAGTGTCAGTGATATACTGACAAATGAATACATGCATTTCCATGCAATTGTCGCTGCCCTTGTACACGTGCACAACACAACCTGACTGCCTTTTTCAAACTGCTTCCTCCTCTTCCTCCTCCTCAATTTATATTGGTTGCTAAGCCATATTCACTTTCTGCCAATGCTCAACTCAACGTAGAGGGTGAAACACCAAGTTTCCCGTATATTCTATTCTATATAATATATTCATGTTTATCTAGCTATTCGTATTATGTGTTGAAGAATACACACAGTCTCACATTAACAAAATAGAAAGTCTCATAAAATGAATAACTCGACTTCTAATAACATCAAACCTCACACCTGCTAAATATGTGGTTAAATTGGGGACGATATCGATATTGTTAGTGGTGGGTCGAGAATCCATCCTTTTAAAATCTTAATACTATGCATCCTAATATTAATATATATGCATAATATATGGCACCAATGGCTACCTAATTACTCATTCTCACCAAGTTTCCCTGTCTGTGAATCATACTCAGTATAAACATGTAAGCTCTGTCGGCGACAATG